GTCGTCAGATGCTAAGAGTCTCCAGTCTGGGCATCCTCGACCTCAATGGCTCATGGCTCAACTCCCTTGTCATAAACAAACGAAGGGGGAGTCCAGGGGGGCCTGGCTCCCTTAGAATTGAAAATAGTATCATATGTCCCCCCCCCCAAAAAAAAATAAAAAATAAAAAATTTTCCAGATCTTTTGAATGCAACAATTCGCAAGTATTTTGTGCTGAAAGCAGAAAAAAATGCGTAATTATGCCGCAGAAATTGATGGAAAAATTCGTCATGGAAGCTTCGAAATGCGTTCCAACAGATTTATAAATTCAAAAATTTCTCGGGGGATGCCCCTCGGTCCCCCCCCCCTCCCGTGCTTGGGGCCCGAGCCTTAAGACTGGTACCAGGGCCCGCGAGATGGGATGTGGCGGGCCTGGTAGTACGTATGAGATTTGGAATTTCTGTTTTTGTTTGATAAAAATAAGCGCTTCTATAAAGCGTTTACTATTTCAGCTGTATGCCTATTTACAGCGAGCGTTAAATCTGAGCTACGAAGGAGGCTGAAAAGATGTCCTTACACGAGGGCTCTTGATCTGTCTGCACCATGCGGAAGACAGTTTGAATGCATGACTGTGTATTCAAATCCTCCCTACCAGGTTGCAGTCGTGAAAAGCGTCTTTTATATAATAGCGGGAATAGGGCAGTGAAAGTCGTGCTCCAGTAAATTTAGCTTCGCAAATTAGACAAATATCATAAAGTACCTAGCTGCATGGTTATCTTTCATTAGAGAGGCGTATAGTAGGTAGAAAAGGATACTAGACATTTATGAGCAGCGAAGATGGAAAGATGGAGAAAACGTTGGGCAAAATTGCAGCTGAGGAATTAGATCTTCCAAATTTTAGTTAAAAATAAAATAACTATTTCTATTGCGTGTGAATTCCAGAGGATTTGAAAGTTTCATTTTAGAAAAAAACTTTATGAGAACCGCTACCCGGGAAAATTGTCTTGCCTCGTTACAGATTTTGTATGTTCTGGAATTTATCTGCGGACCATTTTCTTTATCAATGTCTTCTGATGTAATGGCCACAAGGACGAGCACATTTGATTCTGCTCAGAATAAAAGTCCAAGACACGGTTGGTTCGAAAAAAAAAACGTGTTTTAATAATTCGTAAATCCCCATACTCAGTAAGCACGAAGTATTTAAAGAGGGGATAACAGAAATTTATAGGCATCATAAACTTCAAGAACCACATGGTCATAAAGCTAAATCTAATAGTACTTAAAGTAGGGGTAAGAGAGGATTTTTTTATGTAAGCCCCTCATACCTATAGCGTAATGAGAAGTGTGCCTGACTAAAATAATTTTAAAATCGTGGTACTGCAGTTGAAAAATTCATTATAGGAAATAAAAGGGATTAAAATTTAACGAAAGTTCAAAGATAGACAAAAAAAAAGAACAACAACAACAACAACATGGATGAATGAACATACTCTTCTGAGCAACTACTTGGTAGATTGTAAATTTATATTTAAAGATATTTTTTGCGTGAAATGTCTGTTTCTCGAGAGAGTTTTGTGGAATTTCATAGAATTTTCAAGGGGCCAAGTATGCAGTCGGCGATGAAGCTTTTATTGTCTTGGATTCCATTGCAACTATTTCCAAATTTCGTCTTGTGTCGGACATGAATCCGACAAGAAATTTTACCGTAATTCGTTTTTCAAAATTTCATAATTGAATTGTTACAATTCCTATGCCTCTCACGACCTTCTTAGTCCTATAAGAAATTTCGACAAAATTTCTTCAAACACATCTCTGAACAGGCAACAAGTTCGCCGTTCATTATTTCCCTCCATTAAAAATAAATGTCACGTCTTTAATATGATTAAAGGTTCGGGCTTTAGAACTTTCAGGTTTGATAATGAGAGGCCCAGGGCCTCAAGGCGCATTCAATAGTCGGGCCGGTTGAACAGAAACGATTCGTAGAGAACCAAATGGATAGGGGTGGGGGAGGACGTCAGAAATCGGCTCATGAAGGTGATGATAATGATGCTGATGAAGAAAAGAAGAAGAATAAGAAAAAGAAGGGGAGGAAGAACGGTGGAAGCTGACGCAATTATGTTGGGAGTGCCAAGATATTAATGGTCTTCGCTCTCTCAGGTAGTTGCGAGCAGTCTGCTTCAGCCTACGCGGTACCCTAAACGAGCGTTTTTCTTATTACAGACAATGATTCTTAACTCACGGTCAAATAATGAAAAATTCGATGCAAATATTTTGAATATTTTGAAATATTTTGCGCTTCCTGCAATAAAAGTGCAAAGAAACTTGATTCAAGAATACATAGTGCTTTTTGAGTGGAAAATCAGTGCGCCTTCACTATTCTGCGTATGCTGCACGGACAACCAAAGAGAAAGAATGGTTGCATTCAGGCTTTAGCGTCAAAAGCGTGCTTGTGCGAATCACGCTGATGATTGATACAAATATAATTCGATGTATGATGAATGGATTTGTCGAAAGCTTCACTGAAAACGGACTTTTTCACAGTTTGAACCGAAAATACACGGGAAACTTACAGAGAGAAACAGAGCTTTTCAAGTACGCCAAAGTGAAAAATAGGTAAAGTCCACACCAAATAAGTTGACGCACTTGTAGACTGCGACGAAAAATTCGCCATTTTGCTCTTTGCATTGCTTTCAATGCTAAACGGAGTCGCATGTCGCAGTCTTTAAATGCGTTAACTTATTTTGCGGAGATTCTAAATGTATTGAACTTTCTGTATTTATCTGCTACTGATCAGTTCGCGTCTCCGATAACCGAACTTCGGTTCAGCAAACCAATATTTCGCACCGAACTATACCGTATTCTATTCAGAACCGAACTTCGTTTTTCAGTGTGAGTTGTTGCCCAATTTTTTGGTGCTGCTCGAACAGGTTGGAGTATAACTCCAATAAGTTTGCTGTAACGTGCCAATAAGTTTGTGTATAACATTACTCTGGGTTGTCCAAATGTATCCATCGGAATATTTTGCCCCTGCATTGAATATTTTTGTGAAAAATGGACGGAAAAATTCCATCATTTCCCATCAGGTAAGACTATCAACCGGACGCATCCGAAAACTACGAGTATATCAATTCTGACGTAAGTCCTGTTGTGCACCTGGGCCAAAATTTGTAATTCTTGTCTTGTGATTTTTATTCAAGTAATTCCGGCTCGAGAACAAAACACTCTGAGCTTTTTTGTCAGTCTCCTATCGTCTGGCAAACATGAAAGATTTGCTCTCGGGGCTGAATTGCCGTGCTGAGGAAGAACGCCGTATGAACATTCGAGAGTTGCCAAATTTCCCCCGATAAGACATGTATTTTTGACGACATTCATGCATATTTTTCTTCGAAATTTTCAGATATTTTAGATTAAATTGCGTGCAAAATTGCCTGAAAACTTTGGAGAAAAATATTCACAATTGTCCCAGTTAATTCGGTTTTTATCGAAGGAAACTTTGCAACGTCTAAAGGCTCATACGGCGTTCTTCCTTAGCACGGCAGTGAAGGAGTACCGCTTTAGTGGATGCACCAAGCCAAATCCTAATTCTACACGTACCTCGAATCTTTCTGATGAATGCAGCACTCTTGACGAAACCGATACTGAGGGCGAAATTTAGTATGCGTTCCGTTCTCACAACCGCGTTTCGTCGTTCTTACAGCGTATCGACGAAACTCCATCTCTCGTGAACCCTGGAGGGCAGCGAGTTTTATGAACATGACGGTGCATTTCTGAACGGAGTTTCGTCTTTATATTAGAGGAGCGACGATTCGGAAAACGCCGAAGACGCGACGCGAAAGAAGAACACAGAAAAAGACGACTCTCGCCAACAATACAGCTTGTGAGTGAGAGCGAAATGCATTTTCAGAGAAGTCGATCGCAACCTCTTCGAGAAATGAGCAGGTTATTTGAAGAGGGGCGTAACCATCAAATTTTTAGTTATTGAGTATTCGACGGGATACTGGTTTTTGTGCGGATGGACGCATCTCGCAAGCGGAATACTGTTGTTTTAATACGGGTGGACGCATCTCACTGAAGAGCGACTCTACCAACATTTATTTTTGAACGTCTTTTTTTAACATTTGAATGTCTGCTTTAGTGGGGAAACGGAGTGATTCCCGAGCCACCGGTCCTAACGCAGGGTGCCGGTGCTCACTCATGGTAAAAAAAGGAGGGGGCAAAACTTGGGAGTTATTAAAAGATGAATTTAATTTTTTAAAATACGAATCTAGGCCTAAGGCGTTATAAATATCTCGTGATATTCAAGTTTCTTGAAAGATGATCAATTATCTTAATTGAACGTAACTTTGTCCATTTTTTCCTGTTTTTTTTTTCTTTTTCTTTTAGGAGTTTATTTATTAAATAATTTACGCTCTCTTTGGTTATATTATTTTGGAAAAATAAAAAAAAGGAAATGTAAAAGTACTGTAATAAAAATCCGGGGTTGGCCACTATCTCCTTCGAGATTTTTAATGTCAAGTTGGCAGCGTTTAAAGAAGACTGGACGAGGCACAGAGGCAAAGGACGCGCGTCAAACATGTCAAATCGCCTTCATACAGGCGGCTATGCAATTTGAGCGACACAGAGGTTCAAATAGTTGTATCATACGTTTCGGTCTCCTAATCCTGCATTCGACGGAGAGCAAGTACGCAAATGGAGATGTAAAGTCTAACAAGTGAATGCGCCCATCAGTGGTTTTACCTTGAAATCACGTATTTAAGTTCGTGACGTATGAAGCCCTCGTCATGATTTTTCTTTAATCCAAAAAATAATTAACGTAATTTTTTGAAAATAACCGTAATGTGTCCCCTCTGTTCGGAAAATAATCTATGAACGTATCAAGCAAAAAAGTTGGCTCGTTACCTTTCAAACATTTTAAATTACATCGGAATTTTCGAAACCCAGTAACATTTTTAGTTTCAAATATCCTCTCGTAAAACATAACAACTTTTTAAACGTTTTTTTTTTTAATATTTGTGTTTCAGAACGGTTGAATGTCCTGTACGAGAAGAATTGGACAGTGCTGGTGCACGAGCAGTTGCGCAAGTTCGAGACGAATGTGGTCGAGGCTGCCAGCGTTCAGGGATACGACGGAAAGGATCTCATGGACAGGGATCAACAATGGTCTTTTAGCGGGGCCCTCCTTTACTCCGTCACAGTTATCACAACGATCGGTAATAAGGATTACATTTTGCAATAAAGAACAACTATCTCTGGCTCTCCTATAAAATCACATATCTGGGAAAACCGATGACATTTATGTTATTTCTAAAATGAGCCAGAAATAGTGATCCCTCATTGCAAAATGTAAATTCATGTAATCCCTTGTCAGTTTTCACGTAAATCAAACCTACTACAATTGTATCTATTTTGTCCTAAAGTGCCTATTTCTAGAGTCCCTTTATACTTGAGAGTCAAGACAATTTGAATCCATTTCTGATTGGTTACCGTATTTTAGGCATTTACAGTGTCACAAACGGGAATATAGATTACATTTTCACCAATTGCAAAGATTATAATCTGGAATGGACCGAGGAATAACGGGTTCGACAAGGAACAAACGGAATGAGAGAGGGAACGGAGAAAGGAATTTGAGAATGGGCCGATCAAAGATCACGAAAAACGTTCAATTTCTGTAATCTTTATTCCCGTTTGTGACTTCATGAAGAGGTGTTGTCTTGACTCTCAGTATAAAGGTACTCTATCTATTTCCAGCCGATTTCGACACATTTTCCATGATGTCAAAATTTGTCGTCTCCCGAACGAAGGAGTATAACTGAATTCCAAGGTTGTCAAACTGACTGAAACGATTGATTTATCTCACCAAAATGTCCACTGACAATAAATCCCATTTATTTACAATTCAAGTCAACATTTCGGATGTTGAAGTAACGTGCTCTTTTTTGTCGGCACGAACGAGAATTTATAATTTAATTTTTACGAGAATAAGGTCGGAAATGATCTTGATCAAAATTTCTGCAAGAATTGGTGCTCAAACAACCCGTTTCCTCTTCTTTGAGAGGATAGGTACCGAATTATGCCGATCAAAAAGGCCGATAAATCGCTCCACGAGGATGCGTTATCAGACAGACGAGTGACGATGAGGCGGCTTGAACGAGGAAGGTCGAGCGGAACCCACTGGAGCATGTTAAATTGATCAATGAGACTTTCGCGAAGTTTTAGTCGCAGGCTCCCAAGCAAAGTGTTATAAATTGCTTCTACTTACTGAAAACTTACAAAGAAAATACACGATCATTCCAGAACAAAGTCTTCATCGTCTGCTCGTCGTATGAGCTCGCAATAGTGTTGCGTCCGTCTACTATAACACTTTGAAAATTTATGACTAATTCTTATTCTCTCAAAGAAGAGCATTCAAGATGTCTCCCTGACATTTTATAGGAATATTTTTGAATGGGGTCAGAAAATTCAGGGAAAATTTGTGGAAAAATGTTCAAAGAATCAGGGAAAATGCTCCTTAATCCTCTTTATAAAAGAAAGAAGAAATAAAACATGGGCGGATATCGCCGCAAAGTCACGTAATTGGCATTTTTTTTTCGAATTCTACCATTAATCTGCACACTCTGAGAGTGCATCGTACACTGAAAAAAAGTTTACCAAATTGAAGGATCTATTCCCCTAAGAAGTTTCAAATATTGGCTTCGGGCAACCTAACGGTATCTTTGATATTGAATTTAGGAAACCATGCTTTCTTGAACCAAGTAAATGTTTTCTTGAAAGAACCTGACTGATACTTCAACCAGAAAAACTGTTTCCTTAAAATCAAGAGACGGGGAAACGAGCCTAATTTAAAAGATCTATGAGGTGTTGATCGAAGAAACTTGTTTCCTCAAAATTAGGAAACGGAAAGAGCATTGCGGTTTCCTAAATTGAAGGATCTATAGATTGTTGAGCGCAGTCACCTATTTCCTTAAAATTAAGGAGCAGGGATAGCGTTTTCTGTTTCCTAAATTTAAGGCTCCGCGCTGTGTTGGTCGAAGAACCCCGTTTCCTTAAAATGCCTAGCTAAGGAAAAACGCCGTATGAACCTTCATGCGTTGCCAAATTTCCTTTGATTAAGCACGAATTTCTGGCTAAACCTATGGATATTATACCTACTTCTAATTTTTCATATAATTTTGCTCGCAATTTCAACCAAAGTCCCTGGAAATTTCAAGGAAAAATATTCATAACTTTCCTCAATAATGAACATTTCATCGAAGAAAATTTGGCAACTCTCAAATGTTCCTACGGCGTTTTTCCATAGCACGGCAGTATGACGGAGGGGCGTACCTACACTCAAGGAATTCGTTTAATGTTTTCTCTTCTTTAATTGATGCAGGTTACGGAAACTTGGCGCCGAAGACTGCGGCGGGGAAAATCGTGACGATGATCTACGCCCTTTTCGGGGTTCCTCTTCTACTTCTCTGTCTATCAAATTTGGGCTCTCTTTTAGCCGATACTTTTTTATTCGCATACTCTCATTCCTGCTGTTACGGCCACAAGCACAGACAAACGGGTAAGTTAGGCTTTTGTGTGGCATCCGTTAAGATAAAATTAAAATAAGGTATAATGTGAAATGACGTTGGGATCGATTTCAAGACGATGGGATAAGCAATGCCACAGTCATAGAGTTTACCGTATAGTCTGTGCCGGTTTTAGTGTTTTCAATTATGTGGGACTAATCGCACTGAAAACAAATTCTCGGCGTTTTTACCAAGGTCCGTTGGTACCTTTACCATCTCACTTTTTTTACCAATTATTGGTAATTTTACCAAGACAGACTGGTAATATTACCTAAAACCGGTATTTTTACTGGTTTTTTCAGGTAAGAATACCACTTTTATTGGTAATCAATTCCCGGTAATTTTGCCATTTTATCTCGGTAATTCTACCACAGTCGATAAAAAATCTTGGTGTTTTTACCGGGGTCCAGTAAAATTACCGAGAAAGTCAATAATTTTACCAAGATTTCTCGGTAATCTCTGGTAGACCAACTTCGTCTCCACCAACTGCCCACTTTTTTGAGTCTCTTGAACATTTTCATTATGCCAAGTTTGTGTGTTTTCATCCTCCCCAAGTAGCAGTGATCGCGATAAATAGCGATTTTATCGGTTGCTTATCGCGATTATATCGGTGGCAATTTATAACAAAACTATCGAATAAAAAATCGCGATTTATGGCGATTAAATCGCTATGCATCGCAATTTTTTGTTCAATAAAATTGCGATCAATTTTCGTCAATAAAATCAAGATTAAATCGTCATACATCGCGATAAATTGCCGAGCGAGAAAATCGCGATTTTATTGCAACAAGATCGAGGATAATCGCTCAGGTATTGATGATCTTAGCGATTTTATCGCCGACAAAATTGCAACAAATCACGATTTTTCCGTTGAATAATGCTACTTGGGTCACCAGTTCAATTAATGAAAAAGAGTTTAATTTCTCGAAATTTATAACCATATAAGAATTTTATATTATTACCATTCAAAGGGTAAGATTAATAAATCATTTAGATTTTAGATAAAACCATGTTTTAAATATCTAGTTATTGAAGAAAATAATTTAATCAGATATTGTTTATTAATTTATTTGATAACCTAAGTTACAAAATTAAACAATAGAAAACTTTAAAAGTTAAGTGTTAAAGTAAAATAAATTAAAATATCAAATGTATCTAAATAAGATTGATAATCTTTAATTAAAAAATATATAAAAATGTAGAGATTTAAATTTAGATTTTATTTAGATTTGTTTTTTTTAAATTTTTTTTTCTGGGGGATGATTTGTTTCAGAGTGCAAGGACAGATACACGGAGGCGATTCCTTCGCCGCCGGCGGGCCCGGCTATGGGAGCGGGCAACGTGCCGGTGCGCAACACGATGGTGAGGATGGGGTCCGGGGGTCGCCCGGTGTGCCAGCTCACCCCCGAGGCCCGCCATGTCCTGGCCGAGTGCGCCGAGTACCAACTGGCACACACGTGCTCCGACCCCAGTGCCACCTCTATCCTCCGGCAACTCAACGCCGCTAACGTCGCCGCCCCTCCCGACGAGTTCGACGATGATTCCATATGGTTAGCATTACTCGCCACCAGCTTTATCCAACCTTCACCGTGTTTTCTTCACAGGAGAACGTATCCGTACCCTGGTAAAAATTGGCAGTAGAATCTGTGTTCCAAAATACCACAGACCTACAGTAGCCGGTTGTAAGATTTCCAATAGCTTCTATAGCCGGCAACACAATTTCTTTTCGCCTTTTATAGCCGATGGCGATTAAGCAACAGCCTGACGATAAAGTGTATGCTAAACGTTACTAATTACGGATGCCAGGGTTTAGTGAGTTTTTGGACTACCGGTCTCTTTTTGGGCCGCAATATCTTGATTTAATTTGCGAAGAAAGGTCTGTACTTTTGAAGGATGCCTGCCATTCCTAATATGTTGGAGCGCCTTCAATTTCGTATGATACTGTGCAATACCTCTGGTGTGAAATAGTTGCTTCAAGCGCCGCGGTACGCTGCGGCGCGGCGCGCAGCCAGCGCTGAACGCGAATCGGCGCCTACAAACCTAACTGGGATACTTCACGCATTGCGCAATGCGTGAAGTATCCCTGTTAGGTTTGTAGGCGCCAGTGCGCCGCCGCTCCGCTTTGTGTTAGGCTCTAATATTTAATCTCGCGGAGTCAGCGTTTTTCAACTCATGACTTTGAAATGTTTGCACACTCTTCTCTTTTTTTTCTTCTTCTTCTTCTTCTTCTGTTGTTTTACTGGCTTATATTCCAGATGTGGAAGCTTCCATACTCTATATGGATTACTCTCATTTTAATTGATGAAAAAAAATATGTAGTAAAGGAAAATATAATGTGCGTTTTGTAAATATTAAGGTGATTCTGTACAAACTTAAGGATTCACAAAGCATCAGAATTTCTACACAATTTCGTATAGCTTTTTATAGCCGATGGCGAAAAAGCAACAGCTAGGCGATAAAGTGTAAAGCCCGGCGATAGGAACTATAGCCCGGCTGTATAATTTTTTATTGCTTCGTGTATCCCGGCCGTATGCTTTTTTCCATTTTCTACAGCCAGCTATATGATTTTCTATCGCCTTCTTCAGTCGGCTATAAGAACTCCTATGGTATTTTGAAACGCAGCTCCTATCGCCAATTTTTACCAGGGTAAATCAATGTTGTCAAATTTCACCTGGAAAATTGCATTTTTACCTGGAGAATCTTGGGCATTCTGAACTGAAAATTTCACCAATTTCCTTTCTAATTTCATGCAAACATCAGAAAAATTTTGGAAGTAAATTGCACGGATACAATCTCGTAAAAAATTAATTGTTTGTGTCAATTTTGCAACCGCGGAATGGAGTTAAGTCCCTTTGCTCGGGAAGCGACGACACCGAAAAAAAAGTGAAGTTGATTTGCTATTCTGGATGTAAAAAATGGGCGAGAACTATAAAATGCTGAACTACCCGCTACAGCAGTTAGTTGTCAAGTCAACTTGTTCTGTCAACTTGTTTTGTTTGCAGTTTTGTCAACTTCACTTTTTTTCGGTGTATTGTTCGTCGTTTCCAAGGCGAAGGAGCATATCCATTCCGAGGTTGCAAAATTGACACAAACAATTAATTTTTTACGAGAATCTATCAACGCATTTTTCCTCCAACATTTTTCTGATTTTTGCATGAAATCAGAAGGGAAATCGGTTAAATTTTCAGCTCAGAATACCCAAGCTTCTCCCAGTAAAAATGCAATTTTCTAGGTGAAATTTGATGACATTGATTTGCAGATACGTTCATCCGTGAGAGAAACACATAGAGTACGTAGAGTCGTAATGTGAGTAGGAAAGCTGGCGCCAGGTGAAAAACTATAAAACAGAAGTCCAGGTCGTCGAGTTTCGAGCCCGGTGTGCGCCGAGCTTCGGTCACTTTTTCCATCCGAAATGGCGATGTAGAAGACGTAACAATTCCTATCCTCTTCGTTTACATAAGATGACCAGGTCCCAGTGTATCGAACACAAGCGATTATTATTTATCGAAAAAGTGACCTGGCGTGACACGTGAGTCTCGAAATTCGGGGCCTGGAAAATGCTTAAAAGTGGCGCGGCGCCAGCTCTCCCATTTATACATACAACTGTATGTACTTTATGGCTTTATTCAACCTTATTATTGTCCGTCGTTTCCCGGGCGAGGGAACATATCTCCATTTCGAGGTTGCAAAATTGACACAAACAATTAATTTTTAACAAGATTGTATCCATGCAATTTTCCTCCAACATTTTCTCTGATTTTTGCATGAAATCGGAAGGGAAATCGGTAAAATTTTCAGTTAGGAATGCGCAAAATTCTTCTGGTAAAAATGAAATTTTCCAGGTGAAATTTGGCAACATTGATTTATAGATACATTCTTTCGTGAGGGAAACAACGTAATGTCATATTCAGGAATAGAGAAAAAATAGGAGATGTTTGCATCTTGAGGATTGTTTACCCCGTGACGTGGGCCGGTACAACATATGTCGATATTACAGCAAAATCCGGAATTCGAACTATGAAAAAAGGACCATAACTTCCGATTTTTTTGCTTAAACCAACTCCTGATACAATTTCAATCACTACCAAAGTCGGATTTAGGGGGCGGGCACATGGGCCGCGGCCCTGTGTGGCAAAATTTAGGGGGCGGCAAATCTTACAATCTCATTAAATGTAGGTATCAAAAAAAGAGGAGAAAATAAATTGAAAACGAGAAAAGGCGACAAAATCTCCCATTTCCTGAGAGTCCAAGTATAGCAATTTCTAATTTTGTCGTCTTTCGGTGGTACACGAGACATCACTTTTAAGTAGTCGAGTAAAGACAGAAACCAATACACCATTTGGCCTGGAATGGCGCGGCGCAGAGAGCAATGTTGACGAGGACTTGAGATGTGAGACGCATAGCGCCTACAAGACTGCACGAATACTTCACGCATTGCGTCAAACATAATGCAGTCAGCAGCGGTCGGCGGAAATGCATGGCGCATACAAGACTGCAGGAATACTTCACGCATTGCGCCAAACTCAGTGCGGTCCCGGTCAGCGAGCCGTGCGCCGCGGCGGCGGAAGTCGAAACTATTAAACCACTTTTATGTTTGTTCTTCCTTAATTTTTTTGTTCATTTCTTATCAATGGAGGGCCTCGTCCACAACTCCACACAGTGATAGGTTTACGGAACTTACCTTTCGCGCTAAATTGAACTTTTGCTAGGGTTGACAGGGCTTTCACAAAAAATAAGCCCAACACGAGTAAATATTTCCAAGAAAATCGATGATAAAAATCGCCCGTATCGACTTACGTCATCGAAAAAACCAAGATGCCCGAAATGCAAACTCCTCCTTTTTTTCTCTATGATATTCAGGGTGTTCCAGGTTTAACTAGCGAGATTTCAGGAGACGTAATTTTTCGGGTCCAATTAAGACTTTCAAGTTTTGGAGACAACATTAGGTCAATTGTGAAAATGTGTAGCTAGCATTATAATCGGACGTCTTTCTGCTAAACGGAACTAGAGGGAAGAAAGGGAATGCGGTTTGGATTGACGGGTGCAACGGACTGACGAGCTCATACCGTCCTGTGCTCATAATGCTTTCCTATGGCACTTAGTTCCGATTCACAGAACTCGCTATTCGAGATTCTAAAATCCCCAAAAGGAACTGAAATTGGTTCTTAATTCCGTTAAACAGGAATACGTCTAATTTTCTTGTACCACATCCAAATGTGAAGTCGAAGATGACACTGTTTTTAAATCTCTTCGTAAATCCGTGATCAAAACTGTAATTTTTCATGCGAAAACTGAAAACACAAAATGTTGCTCATATGAACTTGATGACCCCTCATCTGGACGAGTTCTTTTTTTACCTCAAATTTGGATTCGACATTATATATTCTGGGCAAGTTGACAGTTTTTCATAGCGCATCATATTTTATTTGCGATCTTTTTATGAGAATGCTTGTAGACACCTATTAGGAAAGGTGCCTATACTTAATCACAAAACCTTAAACAAAATTATCGTCGACGTAAAAATATTTCAAGATATCAAGTAATTGAATGATCCTACAGAGGTTCTTGGCTGAGCTCCTACATTTTCTAGGCTAGGCAAAATCGGCCACTTAGATGTACGTTTAGTTGCTGAACCTAACATAGGTAACCCTAGGTACTGAGCTCATAAACTGTGGCAAAAATAACGATTTCCGGACTTGATGGAATCCTCTGATGAAAATAAAATTCTTCTCGAATGTACCTTGGGAATCCACGGATTTAAATTGGTGTAAATGTGATTTTTTGAAAAGTCCTGTCAAGTTTTTGATCTCATTAAGACTGAAGGATAGGTACAACATTTCGACAGTGATTTATTGCAATAAAATTGAAATTTCTTCACCATGAAAATGCAGTACTTTACATCTTTGGGTCTCTAAATGCCGACTTTAACACGCGACGAACATACAAACTTAGTTCCACGTGTTAGAAAGATTGGCAATACTAATGCAGTGGGATGCAAACTTGCAGCTCATTTAAATTTTATTGCAATCAATTTCAATAAGCCGCGTGCCTTCAATCAATACATAGGCAACATACACAACACTCCGATGCAGAGGGAATAATCGGCACAGATTGCACAGATTGCACAGATTGCAATTACGTGGTATACCACGTAATTGCAATCTGTGCTACGTGGCATTGCATACCCTGGTAAAAATTGGCAGTTGAATCTGTGTTCCAAAATACCATAGACCTGCGGCCGGCACTGCTAAGATTTCCAATAGCTTCTATAGCCGGCAATACAATTTCTTATAGCCTTTTATAGCCGATGGCGATTAAGCAATAACAGCCTGGCGATAAAGTGTATGCTAAACGTTACTAATTACGGATGCTAGGGCTTGGTGAGTTTCTGGACCGCTCTCTTTTTGGGCCGTAGTATCTTGATTTATTTTGCGAAGGAAGCTCCGTGCTTTTGAAGGATGCCTGCCATTCCTAATATGTTGGAGCGCCTTCAATTTCGTATGATACTGTGCAATACCTCTGGTGTGAAATAGTTGCTTCAAGCGCCGCGGTACGCTGCGGCGCGGCGCGCAGCCAGCGCTGAACGCGCATTGGCGCCTACAAACCTAACAGGGATACTTCACGCATTGCGCAATGCGTGAAGTATCCCTGTTAGGTTTGTAGGCGCCAGTGCGCCGCCACTCCGCTTTGTGTTAGGCTCTAATAATTAATCTCGTGGAGTCAGCGTTTTTGAACTCATGACTTTGAAATGTTTGCACACTCTGTATGGATTATTCTAAGTTTAATTGATGAAAAAAAATATGTAGTAAAGGAAAATATAATGTGAGTTTTGTAAATATTAAGCAGGTGATTCCGTACAAGGCTAAGGATTTACAAAAGCACACGAATTTCTACACAATTCCTTATAGCCTTTTATAGCCGACGGCGAAAAAGCAACAGCCAGGCGATAAAGTGTAAGGCCCGGCGATAGGAACTATATAGCCCGGCTGTATAATTTTTTATCGCTTCGTGTAGCCCGGCCGTATGATTTTTTTCCACTTCCTATATGCTTTTCTATCGCCTTCTTCAGTCGGCTATAAGAACTCCTATGGTATTTTGAAACGCAGCTCCTATCGCCAATTTTTACCAGGATAGAGTGTATAATAGAGGTCACACATAATTTATGAAAATCAAGTTTATACAGTTTTAAGAAATTTTACATCTCTGGCTCAGTGGCGTGGCGTGCTTTGCGATACATCGATTGTTATGCCATTTAAGCCCATGATAAAGAATCGATCATTAAGGTGTTCGCTACAAACACCCTGTTTATCGATCCTTTTCCATAGGTTTAAACAGCAGATCAGTCGATATATCGCAAGCACGCCACGCCACTGCTCTGGCTATGACCCTGTTCGGCTAGACACTAATCTCGATATTTCGTTCCCACAGTATGGCCATCAACGACACACCTTCACGAGTGCCTCTAATTTGGCGGGACGGGAAAAGGTCGCTCACACCCGGGAGTCCCCTACCGCCGATCACTCGCCCCGCAGGGCCACCTGCAGATCCTCCACGGGTTCCCGTGAGCCTTGTTCTAGTAGTTTTAGTCGGTTACATCTGCTTGGGTGCTGCTATTTTCGCTGCTTGGGAGGAGTGGACCTACTTGGACGGCGCTTACTTCTGCTTCGTGACGCTCTCAACGATAGGGTTCGGGGACCTAGTCCCCGGCAAGTCTTTCCAACGACCGGACACCCAGGATGGACAGATCCAGTTGGTCGCGTGCTGTATATATTTGTTAATAGGTTTGGTTCTCATTGCCATGTCTTTCTCCTTGGTTCAGGAGACGGTTGCGGCTAAGAGCAGGCAGTTTGCCATGTGCATCGGCTTGCTCTCGCAAGACCAGGACTCGTGATGTAAACTCTCCGTTTTCTCACTCCTATTCGGTTTTTTAAACGACTGATTTTCCTGATTGAAAACAGGAGAAGAGAAATTCCGCGCTGCGCTGGAGAGGCTGTGCTGCGCAATGCTCTGGACAAAATTGTCCGGGCATCGCTGTTGAACAAATATCCAAGTTTCAGAAACTCACATATTTTTTTCGAAGAGGTTGATGCAAAATTGACCCTCTTGGGTTCTGTAACCCCCAGTATGCAGTATAGATTTCCATGGTCAGCATAAGTACCTACCTAGGTAGTATGATGATGGCCGAAGTTCAAACCACGTATCTCCATTGTGATGTTTCAAATTTCTGATCCTATTTTATTTTTTCAACGGGAAACAAACTATTATAGATTAAAACTCGAACAGAATATTCTGCTAAAAGATAGTTAAAATCAAGGACGTTTTCGAGGAATTATGTTGACTAGTTTTGTGAAGAAAAAATAAAGTATGATAAGAAGTTTGCAACGTCCCAAACGGAGATACATGGTTCCAAATTTTGGGAATCGATAAAGAACAACATAGCCGTTTTTCGTAAAATGGTAGTTTTTAAATATTTCCACAAACGTGAGAAAAAAGGAGCAGAAAAATGTGAAGTTTTGTTGCTTGATATATTATTTGATGAAAAATGAAAGTATTTCAATTCTGTAAATGTGAAAAATAAGACAATTATTTAATTGGGCTAACAAATGGAGGTCTTTCTAGAGCCACACTACCCACTATTTTCAAAAATTTCTAAGCAACATGACTATGAATGACTGGACAAAACAGGAAAAGTATGCAAGCACAAAAATGATCAATCAAAGGGCATTTATATTTGTATTCTTTAAATTTTACTATCTCCAAGTACCTGAATTTTTTTACTAATGAGTGTTCGATTATGATTCAATTGTGCATATATATCATACAAAATTCTTCTCAGATATTGATTAATTATAAATTTATACTTGCAATATACTTAAATACGTCTCTGACTAAAATGGAAGATGCAAAATTGATGTGAAACAAAGGACAAATGAGACCATCTTGTAAAATTCAGTCATACACACATTTTTTAGTGGGTATTGCATGACTTGTAAAAATCCTGAGATTTAATTCGATTAACATGCTGGTCAAAGAAGGGTAAAAAGTATTGTGTCTATAGACTTGATTTTATTTCAGATGGAAATAATCTTAGGTAGTACATACTGTAAAATTAACACAAATTCTGTAAATAAATGTATTTTCTTACTGAGTTGCTCTTGATTTTTATTCATAGCATATGAGTTTCCTTTGTCCTTGTATTTGTGTTAATTTCCCTCTTTAATACTTTGGATAGAATAGTGAGGCTAGTGAAGTCCAGTACACAAAGCTAAAGGTCGATGATGAAACTGCAAAAATTTGTATCTTGGTTAAAACGCTGCAGACTCTCCCTATCATAATTTGTCATTGAAACGAAAAATACTCCTTGTCATTTCTAAAAAACTTCCTTATTTTTTTCTCTGCGTCAAAAATATTCTGTAAAGATTTTAAACAATAGTGTTGATTTGTTTTCCTTTGATGCAATATTATGGAAGCAGAGATTTTGAAACAAGACTGCAAACAAAATTTGCGTTTTTGGAGTTCTACGGCTGGTGGCAGAAAAGAAAAATTGAGAAAAAGTGTTGCTGATCATTTATACACTGAAGCTCAAGTTGTGCTCCAAATTTGTTTTGAAAGATGAAAATTCAAGGTTGACGTCGGGTATTGGCAGAAAAAAAATTGTAAGCATAAGGAAAAGGAATTGTCTTTCATTCATGGTCACATCTTTGCTTGAAAGTTTCCTCAGCCTAAGAATTGAAACGCCTTCAGAAAGCTTCAAAGTTAGGGAAAAAACAACGAATGCAATCCTCAGCTCAACATATTTTATCCATCGTATTACTCAATCTGTTACACCTAATAACATGAAAAATTAAGGCGATGATGAGAATATAAAAACTTTAATGTGTCAATTGCACAAAGGTTGACATAATTTTGACGACTGAATCTAACTTAATGGCACAAAATGAAAAGCTGCATCTAAAAGCCAAGTTTCTCTGTTCAATAACAAAGGTGTACAGTGCCCTTTAAAACGTGATTCAAGCTATTAAAATGTTGATCATGTTTTTTTTTTTGGATTTGGTCTTATCAATCAGCAATAAATATAAATTACACTGATCGCTTGACGTGCATCAGGTACAAGAGCAAGGAAGTGAAATCTATGGTATATCAATATTTTAAAAAAATATTATCCTTCAAAGTGAAAAATGAGTCTGGGTTTTGAAAAAAACAATCAAAGCCAGTATTGTAAATGGCTATTGTGCTGCCTCATTACAGGAGACAGCAATAAATACAATTCAGTGTGAGTCTTGAAAAGTATCAAAATAAGTGCTAAACACAGGTCAAGCTGGAATGAAGTTTCTGCTGCCTCCTATGACATGGCATTGTAGGTGAGGTAAATCCTTCAGATGATTCAGATAATGACTGAAACATAATAAGAAATAAAAAGGTAATCAGAAATGGATATAACACATTTTTCATTCTCAATTAATTGACACTAGAGGGCTACGTCCTTTAAACGCTTCAAGGTCTAATCTCCTAAAGTGCTTCGCGCCTCAGGCACTATGCAAGACACATTACTCCTATAATTTTAGATCTTAACTAAATTGTTTGTCTTTGTACTCATTTTCATAAATTAACTGTAGGGACATTACTAGCCTAAGTTGCAGAATGTCTCAAAACAATAATAACTGACTATTATAGAGTAAGATGATGAAAATAATTTAAATTGCAAGGCTGTCAGAAAGGACAGAGACACTTGCAACCTACGTAGTGCATTTGTTAGCTTTCCCCTTTGTTATAATTGATAAAATATTCTGATAAATTTCTTTCACATGCATCAGTTTCTGTTGTATTTTATCAAACTGATACATTTTCATCTTACAAGGAGACAGTATCACAAAGAGATACTTCCCTTGCTTCTTGTTGAAGAAACCAGCAGCCAACAATGAACCATCCCACCCTGACTCAGGCGAAAAGACAGCTGCCAACCCACAAAAACATCATCGACTAGATAAAGATTCAATGAAAAAAACCCGAAATAAGACAAACTAAAATTAGAAAACCTGCAAACAACCTAAAGTCTGAGTTGGTGGACATGAAGGAATGTAAGGTTCTACTCTAAACCTAATATACCAACTTTCCTCAGGAAAGGAAAACCCGCAGAAAGTGAAATGATGTAATTTCCCATAGAAGTAACATAGCTGACAACCTAATAGAGGTTGGAGCTTTTGAAACAATAGGGACCAATAATGACAACAACGTCTGCAATGATCAGCCGGAGTCCTTAGCCTTGCAAAACTCTGCAAAAGCCCCCATCCCAAAACCAAGAAAGCCGTTAAACACTAACTTAGGCGAAGATCCTTCCTTGCCCACTCTTGCTTTAGAAGTTAATTTTTTTAAATTGTGGTCTCCAAATCCCTCAGAGAATCGTTCAGACTCAGAAGTTGTACCGGAAGTTGGTAAAAAAGCAGGGCACTCTGAAGTTCTGAAGAAAAATAAGCATTAAGTACAGGAACCAGCAAAGGTAGTAAGGAAATAGGAAAAGAGAAGGAAGAAAGGGATCATCAATAATCCTTCAAAAAATATTTCTAATTTTCTATCATGGAATATTCACAGTATTCAAGTCAAAGCTAATCGTTTTGATCTAGATAACCTCATCAGACAGCACGACTTACTGTTTCTCATGATAAGTGATAAAAAGTTTCATGGAGTTGAATAGCCCAGTTTTCTGTCGTTAAGATAATAAAAAGAGGAATTTACTTAGGCAATGTCGCATATAATTAGTTTGATTCTAGTCAATTTGGATTTGGCTGATATCTGTAAAATTCCTCACCTAAATTACCTTTATTTATTTTAAATGAAGGAGTTTTAAATCATTTTAAAAACCCGAATCTCTGTCTTTTTGGCCCTAGACTTTCTTCTTGATTTAATGCTGTCATCAGACTTGAGTTCAGTTCAACGCCGATTTTCTGAGCAGTCTGAAACAAAAGTTAAAAGAGAAATGATAAAAACTTATACCTCAGCGAGTCAAACAGTGGCGTGGCGTGAATTGCGATGTATCGAGTGTTCTGCCATTAAACCTATGGTAAAAAATCGATTATTAAGGTGTTCGCTGCGAACACCCTGTTTATCGATCCTTTTCCGTAGGTTTAAATGGCATAACAATCGATAAATCGTGATTCACGCCACGCCACTGGAGTCAAAATATCTTAGATGAGTTTGCAGGCTCATTCTAAGAGCTGCTGTTATTTTTAATGTGTTCTGTGAATTCGTTTTGATAAACGGATAGTGGCACCCAGTCATATTTTGCTTTACTAAATATAACACTGGATGAACATTCTTACTTTGTCAGATTTCCTCTGACAAAATAATTAGTTTTGAGAGAAGTTATGAACATTTCACCTCGAAAGATTTTGATACCTGAGGTTGCTAATAAAATTCTCTAAATAATTAGAAGGAATTTTGCTCCAAATTTTCTAGAAAATCCTTACTTCCTTAGGATATTTGGCAACGTCTGAGGGTTGATACAATGTTCTACTTTACTTTGGCAGTGTTGGCCTTGAGGCAAAAACTTGTGGACCTGAATTTGAAGCATGTTGAAGTAACTTGTAACCAAGGATCTGCTTAAGAAATAACTATTTTTACATCTAAGAGAAAAAATAGATTGTACCAATTCTCACTCATATCACAAATTGAAATTTTACTACAATACAAAATTATGAAGTATTGAGCAGTAGACTGCTGGAAAATGAGACATAATTACATCATCAATGGGTAAATACAATGAGAGGTATCTGGACCTTTATCTTACTTTGATAGTCTCAATTAGTGTTTGTTCATGAACACTGCCTTCTCCTATTTTAATGACTGCAGTGAGAGAGCCTGAATCCAAAACGGCAACAACGATGCTTGCCACACTGCATGTTTCCTCTTCTGCAGTTGGATCCACAACACAATTGTCTCCAATCTAGAAAAATCAGATTGTAGGAACGAGTTACTTATTCACAGCTTAATTATTACAAACAAGAAAATTATTTCTCTAAAACAGAGGAAATGTCAATGATTTTCCAGACATAGAGAAAAAATAAGGCATTCTGAAAATCAGGGCAGATTTGAGCCAAGAACATAAGTAACTTACTGTATTCTAAATATTAACGTAACCGTTAAAACGAATTTTGGGTGTGATATCAAATGAGAGACGTACTTTTATTTACCGTCAGTCCTAATTTCTTTAAAACTTGTGAAATTACTTCTCGACAATGAGCATATTGAGCATGTAATGTCAATCTTTAGGTCTCATTAAATGGAGTACTTCTCTTCTTTACAACAATTGAAACACTGCAAAAACGCAAAGCACGAAAAATTCAACCAAACAACTTGAAAGTATGTCCCTACTTACAAAAATGGGTCCTTCGATTAATAGCTCTGTGTTTTGTCCCGTTTTTGCATTGTTTTAATTCAATAGAAATGGGAAATCCAGGAGGCAGAGACCCTTGACAGCATGCTTTCAGCCTTTGTAAATTGGTATATATACTCAACTATTATATTCTAATGATCAGTCAGCATTTTTTGTAATCCGAACGGCTCTTGAACCAATCAAACAGTATAATCAAGGTGGTCCTGTATTTACACTTTCAGACAGTTACCAAGATCTAAGTATATCTTGATTGAGAGATTATAATTTTGACGGGTTGACTAATTTTCCTTGCACCGTTTTTATTCCAGAGGGAAGGGGGAGGGAACAAAGCTATGCTCCTTCTGTTTAAAGATCTCATTGACATACATTGATTAATTTTGACGTCCTTTTGTTATCTTTACTTCACACTACTCACCTTACTAAGAGTCACAAGGACAGGTGCTTTTGTTATATCAAGCCTCCAACATTGGAATGGATCATCGGAAACTTCTAGATCAACACTACCTCCATCTAAAAATGAACCGGTGACCTGCGGCACACGAGTGTTGAATAGTGCTGCTTTGACCGCCAAGGAGATAGCATCGTAAAAATTGCCACCACACTCTAAAATAAGGATGTCAACGTAGAGTTTCCAGCACGCTTGTTTTGGTACGATACACAGAGGAGCAAGAGGTAAAGACTGGTATGCACGGCTCAATCTACTGCTGATTTCATTTGCTAAATCTTCACCACCACGACCTTCGAATGCTGGAGTTGCATTGGCAGAGCTGAAAAGAGACATAAAATTGAATGAAAAGAAAAGCAACTGTGCTTGAAAAGGGGAGGGAGAACTGTAAATTTGTGAGAGAGTAGGCTATACAAGTCGAACTTCCTTTTTTTGGATTAATTTTTTAATATAAGGAAAATATTTTAAGATCTAGGTGGCATCTAACTAAGACACGTATCTGCCGTTCAAAACAAGATAGTCAATAATATCATCCACTAGAGCACTGTAAACCATGATTTCTTAGATATTCATTCAATTATACATGTGCAAACGTTATGGATAAGATATGATTGATAAGACAAAGGCTCAAGAAATCATGGCATGCACAGTTTGGGATGATTGTGAGGTGTATTTTCGACACAGCACACAAGATAGAAAATATTCTTTTTCTTTATATATAAACTTGGCATCTGATCAATACCTCATTACATTCTATAGGGTTTTAAAAAAAGAACCATGACTCAAGGTTGCAAGGAACTGATCATGGGTTTTTTTAAGTTTCAAGAATGTGAGTTTACAGAAGTTTCATTCTTACCTGGAGGGTGAGAAAACCCTTCATTAAAAAAGAGTCACATTTGATACAGTTGTATCCATTTCTTAATCAAATGTGAGGTTTCTTTTTAAAAGGATTCTCCTTTTATTTCTCTGAATTTGGCCAATTTTTTTATTTAGAATTACTTATTTTCAGGCTTATGTGCGTGCAGAGGCTGTCGTCTTTTCTATGGCTAAAAATTGACGATCTGCCGAGATTTATGGCAAAATCAATGCAATGTATCGTATGCCAGTTAAACCGTATCAGACACATTGACGAATCACCTTAAGTAAAGACTGAAAATTAGAAGTAAAGAACCCATGAGGTGCCTTACCAGTCAACAAAAAACTCGAGTTTTCCTTCCTCGGGATTCTCTGGATACGGAACATCAATCTCTGTTTTGACACCAACAAGAATATCAGTGTTCGCTAGACGCAAACGTGCAGAGCCACTGGCAGTGCTGACGACATCAGTCTCTAATTCCATTGGTCGATAATCACCTCTTCTGCGCCCATCACATCGTAAATCCACCTGCATAAGTTAAAACAGTTTTAGTGCATAAGTAAGCTAAAGTAGAAGATATTAATATTTAAACAGGAAATCGAGTACAGGCATTGTATTATAGTGTAGTAAGTAACACAAGGTGCTGGTTTCAATGGACGACTTATGTAATTCAAGAAAAATGAAAGGACGATAGCCCCTGCGCATAAGCCTGAAGAATTATTCTAAGCCCGAAAATCGGCAAAATTCAGAGAAATGAAAGCAGACTAGTGTTTGAAAAAAAACTTCGCATCCGATTCAGCTATCGATTTCTGTATCAAATGCAAGGTTTTTTTCCAAACACTATTCTACTTTCATTCCTCTGAATTTTGCCAATTTAGGGGTTTAGAATGATTCTTCAGGCTTTTGTGAAGGGGCTAACTTCCTTTTATACTAAAAACTCAAAAGCTGCTGAGATTTTTTACCAAATCGATGCAATGTATCGCATACCAGTTCGACCTTTGTCACATACTTAAGCTTGACGAATCACCTTAGGTAAAAACATTCAACTAACGAAAACTGATAAAGATTCACTTGATCTTGCAGGTAACATGCATGCAGAGGATAAATAGCAGGTAAGCGATTGACTTTAAGGTTTGCGGTTTTTCCGACAGAAACCTTGATGGGGCCTGAGGTAACTGTTTTTCTCTTCAGAGATTTTGAACTGAACATTGGAGGAATGGTATTTTTTAAACTGATGGAATTTTCTGTTCTTGACTGGGCAGTAACTATTTGAGAGCACGAATGGCACTGGGCTTCGATCATGCTATAAGTTCCTTTCAGTCATCAGGAGCGTGTGTGATACCTGCCATAGAGAAGTTTGACAAATCATGATAGAATTTCCACTCACCTCAACACCATGAAGAATGAAAGTTTTCTCAGCATCGTTCAATAATACTGAGGCCATTTCATACGTTTAACTGAACCGGCTAGCTGAAATTAAAATCCAACGACAACGAATTACATTTCTACGTCCTGGAACAGCAGATGGAACAGGCAATCAAAACATAACCTCCAAAAACAACGTGCTCGTGTTGTTTACATTCGTCTCCGTTATCTGTTTTCTGTTATCACTTGGGTATCTGACTGATCTCTGAAGTTTCTGAACACCGAATTTTTTAATCCTGTCACTTAGTTCTTCGTATTTTTATCAATTCGTGGTTATTGAGTTGATCCTTGGCCTGTATTTTTCGTTATTATTCTATTGTCCTCTGGCTTTCTTCGTTATTTGCCCAATAAAATTGCCCCGTCGTTTCCTGGTTGCAGCCTCTCCTTGTGTCAGTGTCAGTAGAAATTTTTCCTCGAATGGAGAGAACTACTGATGAAGAAGCACCTGCTAGCTGTCTTCCTTGCAGATTGATCAGTGGCTCTGTGCTCATAGGATGCGGATTTTATATCGGTTATCATGCATCCAAGTTGAAGAAAGGAAAGAACGCTGCCCTGCTGATTGCCACAGGTACGTACCCAGGGGCTTTAAGTAAGTCCTGAAATAGGCCGTTGAACATTTTTCTCTTCAAGTCAAAGAAATCACTTATAATAGAGAATATCTACTTAAATCTTCTTTCATTCAATCAAATTTTTTGCCAAGAAAACAGCTTTCCAAGTCTCCGAAAATCCAACTTCACTTCTAACAGAAAAGGCGACGGTCTAAGTCGGCAATCACACAACTCGGTGATCAAATTAAAATAAAAATATTTGACGGTCAAAGAAATGGAAATTTACGAGAATGGCATGAGGGAGACCCACTTTATTGACCCTGATTTATTTGACCACTGATTGGAGACTGTATGTCGACGGAGTAAGTCGGCAATCACATAACTCGATTTGCTACGTCGCAGACCTCCTGTCATACTCTATTTCTTACACGGAAAACTACTCAATGGCTATTCTTTTAAACTGCCATGATTTTCTTCTCTGTGCAAATGAAATTCTGCAAAAACTTCTAGGAATGATTCCAATTTGTTCTCCTTTAAATAAATAACACGGAGGCGGAGATTTTCAAACACTGCAAACAAAGATATGTGATCGCAGAATTATGTTGTTGAAGTGTTACATTACTTAATTAATTTTACAAGGAACATGTGATATTGACCGCTGCTCATCCTTCCACTTATTTTTGTTTATTTTCTTGCTGGATGCAATAGGTAGTACTTAATGAGACGGTATTTACTCTGACAATGCCTGTAATGTCATGGTTGTTTAAAGTAAATATTTTCAGGAAAGATCTGAAGATGGACCATTTGTATCATGTGAATACAGATGCGGTTTGTATGGTGGCCATGTCAGAGTCCACCCCAAGTAAGTGTAACCACTCTCAGAGTTAGACAGAAGATCCCCAACCTTAGTTCCTTTATGGACTTTCCAAGCTGATTTGAAGACAATCAGTCCTCTGTCGCATTCTAAGAAGTTCCGTAACTTATTTAGCATTTCTTCTACATTGAATTCATGGTGGTTGATTTCATTGGTCATTACATCACATCACATTATGAGCTTCATGTCTGTGAGAAATGATCTTACTGCCACAACTTCAAGCCTGTATCTATATAGTCCATAAAATTGTTATGATCTCTTTTGATTTCGAAAAAGTTTCCGCCCAAAATTTATGGAAGGGCTGTGTTGTAAGAGTGATACAAAATACAGTTAACTTACAAATAAAGCCAACGCCAAATAAGTTTATCCACTTGAGATCGCGACAGAAGATCATCTGACGTCACTTTTACATGTAAAGTAAATGCGTGAATCAAGATGACAGATCTTCTGTTGCAGTATAAAAGTGTGTAACTTACCTATTTGGCAAGGACTTTACATTGTTGAAGTAAACTTACCTGATACTGCTCAGTTTTCCTGTTCTGCTGAAGACAGTTGAATGATGAGTTAAAATACTGAGCATTCATATACTTAGACACTCAAGTTATCGAGTGAAGAGCTGAGCCATGTTAACCAGTTATCATTGGTTACTTCTGTACTTCCAAGTACAATTTACTCTGGCAACCTTTTGTGCTTTACTCTCCTTATTGTTTGACAATCAAAAGGCAAAGAATTGTGATGTACTTGAAAGCTGCTCGAAAGGTTCTTTTCCATGATTTTTTGATTTTGCTTCTTCACTTACCTTTCAATATCGCCTCGAGGAAATTTTGACGGTAGGTATCTTCCCCCACCCTCCTAGCTGCACCACTGAATCTTAAGAAGAGGCATCTGGTAGGTGCAGCTAAATGAGGACTTAGGCGACAGGATTTAATTGTGAGTTAAGCTTCCTAAAATTGTCTAAAGTTGAATAATAATTCACTGAACTTTTTTTAGGTCTCTGTTTTACTTTGTGATCTTACTGACATGCAGTTTGTTTTTATTTTTGCAGGATCTGGTGTCATTGGAGTTTTAAGATTACTAAATTTGCTGCCCCGACTGAATTGATGCTCTGAAGTATTTGGCTTACTGGATTCTGCACCAAGGTGATTCATCCAAAAGTTTCAGAGTTAAATTATTAAGTACCTAAAACTGTGTTCTGTAAAATTCTGCCTTCCCTGGAGCTAGGCATGTAGTTGTCGTTCATACTTCTATGGTTCTACTACCTATCATCATCGGCAGTTTAATCTGATAGCACAGTCATAAGGTTTGGCTGCACACAATAGCTGATGCCGGCGGGCAAAGGAACCATCAAAGCACAAACTGCACATTGATAGGTAGAGGGAAAAAATTGGTTTTTACAAGGGACTTAATGTACCTTATCACATTTAGCCCCTCTCGTTTTAAAAATTTCAGCTTGATTTCTTTCAAGTGCCAACAATGCCAGGTTCATAGAAGTGCATAACAAAATGAGGTATTGCTCATTACTGTCATCTCATGGAACCAGTGGCATTGCTCCTCATTTTAGGAACTGCTGGTAAATTTAAGGACCATTCCAGCCATGTCATTTTGTTTTCACAAAACTTACAGAATTTTCGAAGAGTAAAACTTATTTTGAAGTCAGCTAAATAGATGGTGAGATCTAGCACTGGTATTGCAAGTTTCAAGACTTCTGTGTGATAGCCTACATCGCAAAGTAGGTAAACTAGTGGTTAAGGATGTCTAGGAGATGCTTGTCTAGAACATCTGAAAATTTCATTATTAAGACATTGCAAGTCTCACTGACTCGGAAAGTGTCTTTTTCCACTTTTCCCCCAAGTAACCATCTGGTGCGTAGAATGAGGTTTTTTTTCTTCAATGATTTTTTGGTGGCAGGTATATTGAATAGAGAAATTTGGCATCTAAACAGATTGTGACTGTCAAAACTGACCCATTGAAAACCTTAAATAAAACCAATTGAAGATTTTTTGTCTGTTCTCCCTTTCAAGTTTCTCTCTGTCATCATGACCGTATGATTTGTTCTATAGGTATGATTCTATGCAGTATTCTTCAAGGCCGCTTTTGCAGTTCATTAGCAGGTATCTGCTGCAGTGATAAAGTGATCAAGTTTAAAGCTAGGACTAACCACATTTAACATGAACCAATCTGGAAAAGAAAATGGGTAAAAATACTTTCATTACAGTTGTTATTTTTTTCAATTCTTTTATTTTAAATATTCGTCGAACTTTTTTACATGTTTCAATAAAAATTCTGGTTCTTAGTTAAATAAACAAGAATACAAAGATTCAGTAATGTATTCAGTAACATATTCTGTAAGAAAAAATAATCAATTAAATAAAAATAATTAAAAAAATTTACAAGTCTCAATAATAAACAAGTTGGTTAAGTCATACATCTAACAAACGTAAAGACTTTAACAATTGAATACATCTAAGAACGAATGAAGAAAAATAAAGGGAATCAAGTTCATAAAACTTATCCATCACATTGAATACTTCGATTAGGATACACGTTTTTGTCAAGTTCTTTATTTCTTTCTTTTCGTCATGTCTGCTCTGACTTATGCTGTCCCTACACCTGGCTTAAAGTTTGCATAAATCATCTAAAATGAAATATTTCCAACTAGATTAGGGGTCAGTTCCTCTGTTCATCCTATTGGTCTTTGACTGTGTCTGACCTAAAATAACTGACAAACAAGAATGGTGCGGATAGTCTGGGACACCCTGTATGTATCATTGGTTTTCTTACTAATGACTAGAAAAACATTTAAAGAATGAGCCAGAATGAGTTTTTTTTTTGCAAAGAAAGTAAAAAAGTAGTAGCGGTGTGGTCATTTAACATGTTTTTGAACATTCTTGGTCCTTTTGAATAGTTATTTTTTTCCTTCTTTCTTTTTCAGTAATTTCTCATCATTCAGCTTTTTCAATTTTAAGAAAATTTAAAAACTATGCTACCACACATTTTAGTTTAATCTTATCATCTAGCATAAACTTTCTGACAAAGGTATCTTTCAGTGATGAATCATCTACAGTTTTGAGTAGTCTCTTTGTCTTCTTTGTCTATCGCTTTGCCTATACATTTCAATAATCAGCCTGCAGGTTCAAAGATGCTCACTACCACTGCACATTGTAACGGTGTCTATCCATAATAATTTCAAGGTATAAAACCATTAGACTTACCCTCTGGACAACGTCTGTATTTATGTAAGGAACTTATTTAGATCGGTATCTAATGAAAACCTCATCACATATACATGATTTTGTCTGAGTTCTCCGGACAATCACTTACGCTCAGAGTTGTTAACATACAATATTGGGGAAAAAACTGACGTGGTAAGCAAGAACTGCACTTTTTCATTCCAGATTTTGTGAATTTTTCTCAGATATATCAGCGGAAAACAAGACAACCTTTACACCCAAATAATAATATATTTTGGAGATCAGTATTTAATGGTACAATGTACAGATCCTAAGAGTACGAGCAATATATGCGCTCAGGTTTTCTTTTTATGAAGTATCCTGCCATAAAGAAAACTAGGGCTCTACGCCTCCTAATGGCTACTACATGGCCCAACCTCCAGAAGGTGCTCCGCGCACTCTAAAGGCCCGGTTTGCTGGTCCTCATGCGTTAATCTAAGATAAAGTGGGCTCATCAAGGGACTATCTTTTATTGATAGCTGCATAAATAAGGAAGATCGGCTTGGTAGATATTAGAAGGAATTGTGACCAATTCAATCGCAAAATCATTGTGCGGTTCTTGCTTACCACGCCAGAGTTCTTGCACAATGGCTTACTGTATGGAAGGCAAAAATGAGAGCGCAGGAAAAACCTTTTTCATCGATGTCTTTGTTTCATTCCTCTTGTGATGAGGAGAAGATTCTAATAAGTGTTGGAGAAAATATATCAACCTAAAATAATGAACAGTTATTTTCAAATCAACGTGAATGTAATGGTACACTGAAAGAAAAAATATAAAATAAAAAGAACATTGGTGACTGTATGAAGAATGAGTTGGCATAGAAGTAGAAATCTTATCCTCAGACTAATAGTATAATTTTCGGAACTTGAGGCATTAATATGCCATAAGAAACTATCATAGCTTTAATTAAAATTAAAATTAAATTAAAAGGAAAAATGCAATTGCTTAAATTTATCAATGCAGCTAATAAAAATTACAATTTGCAAGATGTACCTAATTAAATGAATAACTATGTTTTTCATCAAGAAGAAAACTAACAGTATAAATGAAGATTGTTTTCCCAGGAAAGTTGCTTTGGAAACAAAATCAATTGAAATTGAATTAAAAAAAAAAAAAAAATTAATGAACAGAATTCCTCTCTCAGTTCCATGTATAATGGCATAACACCACTTAAAAATCTGTTTCCTTAATTATTTTTTCTTGGTTTAAAAATGTCCTTTAAAATAAACTTCAGAACAAAAATAAATGTGGGTTAGGAGAGAAGAACAAAAATTTTCTTCATTGTGTCGACTAATTGTGCATCCAGCTTTTGTTCCCGTTTACAGGCTGAAGAGAGTGAGTTCACGAAGCCAGTTTTTTATGTGAAACATTATGACGGTGCGGAAATCAAGGAGATGAATGGAATGCATTTATCAGTGTTTCATCAGTTTCCTAATTTGGGTATTTTGATTCTAAATATCTTTAGTTTGAAAGGCCATTTCTCATTCTGCAGACCTCTTGTACTCTGTTGGAGTTGGATTGCAGTTCACTGATGGAAAAAAGTAATATTGTGTAAATTTTTCTTTTTTCTAGAAGCTGTATCATTTGAAAAATGAAATGAAATCAATCCACTGACTATGTGCTGAACAGGGCAGAGAAATTTGCGAATTGAGGTATACAGTAAAATTCTCAGTCATTATTGGGTCACAATAAACCTGCAAAGTAAGTATCAGTTGTAATTTTTTAGCACTGAAAGTCTGAACTAGGTATACCATGAATTAAAACTTATTGGATCAAAAAGTTAAAACTGTTATCAACAAATAACCCTCTCTAGTTTTAATCTACGAATTCATGTAACCTTTCTTCAATGTATAAGTATTCTGATTCTGATTTATTGAAAACTTAAAACTTGAAAAACGTATTTAGATGAAATGTTGGTGAAAGTTTTTGATTCTCAAAATTATGCAATTTAGCTTTTTTAAGTAAGCTTCAGTTTTTACAGACATTTTTTTAATGTTTACCTCTGATAAAAGTAAGCAATGATTTTGTTGTATCCATTTTACCAATTCTGGTTTGATCAGACAATTTACTTGATATAATTAATCCTCTTCAATGTTCATGAAAGTGTATGTGATTGAGTTTTGGAAATGTATTTTCGCACAATTGGAGAACATACATTCTTAGGCGAATAGGTACGTAATTTTCAGTTAATTTTGACCCAAGTGTTGTATATGTAAATGTATGGTATGTACTACATGTTTATATGTATTGCACAAAGTGTTAGTGTATCAACAGTGGTCCTGCGCTGCTTTATTTGTGATATTCTAACGATAAATCACCTGTCAGTTTTGTATAGAGTCCTGAATTATCTCTGATATTTAAGCATTGCATGCAATATAGTCAGAAATTTAATTTTTAGTCTGGTCTGTGCAAATATCACTTGGTCTCCAATGCTCAACTACCAAGTAAACAAGAGTTTAATCTGCTCAAAAGTTTTCTAATATTTTTCTATTGTGAACAGGAAGGCATTGTGAAATTTTGGTCCTAATAAAGCTTAGCATTAATTAATCAATAGTCTAAGTTTTAGAACAGGAATAATGTTAACTTTCAAGAGTTATAAGTTAATCCTACGGAAACAAGAGGGAACAGGAGTAAAACAAATCATGAAAGCCACAACACAACATATCTAGTTTGGCAAACCTTTTTCTCGTGAAATATCTACTTGAGAATTTTAGTTTTTCTCGTATGAAAATTTTGTGTATTTTACCAGCATCAAAGTGACATGCTGTTGTAGTGCACAGTTTGATTCAAGCAGACCATTGTTTTTCTTGTCTGGGGGAATTCAAATTTTGTGTAACCAATGTCATCTAAAAATGTAACATCTCAGCAAGGAGTTGATTTCAGTAATTTTTGGTGCCCAATTTATATTCTATGTAAAATTTTGGTTTTGATACATGTACCAAGATGCTTAAATTCGTATGTTGTTTACTGATCCTTTGTTTTACTGAAACCACAGGTTTAGTTGTTGTTTTAATAAAAAGGCCTCCTTTAATCATAATAGACGGATCAGACAAGAAAGCATTTTAGTCAAAAGAGCAACTAAGTGATTGATTTTCTCAAAATCGAGGTAAGATGATATTGAATGAATTATTAAAAATTACAACAATATCAAAATTATGAACAGATACTTCGTAAAAAGAGAGTTAGAAACATAGCAAACATCTTCCCTGACATAACGCAAAAATGGGCATTGGCGGATCCAGGAAGTTGGCAATATTGTTTTATCTCCATTTAAACCCATAGAAATGTATTGATTCTTGGAGAGGTCAGGTGCTCCGACAAAAATCGATCATTCAACACAGGTTCAAGTGAAGGAAAGCCAGCGTTGCTAATCTGCTGGATCGTCCTCTGATAGTGGGTCCGCTGAAAACTTTTGCTAGACTGAAAAAAAATGTTGTCTCTCGAGGAAAATGACTTGAAAATCACAAGAGGGTCTGAAATTCAGTCCCAATTTCTCAATCTGCATTGCACAATAATTGCAATTTTCATAATTTTCTGCTTCAAAAATACGCTACAGCAAAGACATAATTTGGTACAGATGAGCCGAAGCTTTTCACAACTACAAATCCAGCTATTAGGTGCTGCTGTCAATACAGGTCCTTAAATAAAAATTACCAACCAATTTTGGTGGTTGACTGTTGTATATTAGGTGAAGAAATTTTAAGTTTCACAATCTTGGAGTGTACCAGTTGAATTAATACCCACTGTAATAGTTGTAATTCAATCTAAATTTCTCTTCATTGTTTCTCAAACTAGAAAGATTATTTTATCACAAAAATATTTAAACTATATGCTGCAGGAATTTAAATTCTTTTTTGGTAACATTCTACTTTTAAGTCTTTTGAGAAACTTCTTCAGAATGTAGTAAATAATAACATCAGTGGTTCATCGATCATAATAAAAAAGTTATAACTCATGAATAATACAATTCCAGTGAAAGGTAATTGCGACTGGTCTTTCATATTTTTCCAGAATGCCTCTTTATCCCTAATGCTGTTCATTCAGTTTTTCATGTAGGCAAGGAAGATGTTTATCTCTCACCATCAGAGTCTTTATAGAGTGGTCGACAAGTCCTGCACGACTCCTATAGCCCTTACGGTTCTTGCCCATTTTCAGGGTGGACCCCTTAAAATTTTAGAGGGCCCCAAAAATCGTTTCCTTTGACTTAAGGGCACTCACAGAATTTCAAGTCGCTACCTCTGTTTGTTCAAAAGTTACAAGCAAGAAGAAGCAAGCAAGCAAGTTATAGGGCTGATGCCTAGTGCTGGTTGTGCAGGATTTATGAATCACTCTGTATATTGATCGAATTGTCTCAGTTATCTGCTGAATGAATTCAATTTATTTCCTCTTGCAGGTATTAATGAAACTGAAGATTTACTGGAAGTAATGCAGTAGTTATTGTTAGTCATCAGTTGAAATAACAAGATCAATGGATTTTAATTAAATTGAAGCATACACATATCTCTAAATAAAATATTTCTAGCTATCAAAACAAATTAAGTTGGCATTTCTTGGCAGTATTAGTCAAGATCATGTCTCTAGATCTGTCGAAAATTTAAGTTAGCTAACTCGAAATCGGTAAAACTAGTGAGAACATTCTTCAAAATGATTTAGGTCTGAAGAACACCATAACAAAAAAAATTGAAATTCATTACCTATGAGATTGAGGCAGCAAACAGTGAGACATGTCAGTGGGAGAGGTCAGACATGACATGGAAACTGTTAAAACTAATATCCTCAGAGACACAAAATGTAAAGGTTTAAAAGTGGTACCATCGACAATCATCGAGTGGTGGTAACTCGCAGAATTTCCTGCAAGAAAAAGCACCCCTTAAAATGTATGGTGAGGCAAATTAAACATCAAAATTTGCAGATTTATTCAATATTTTCATGTCCAATCTCTCCCAATGGCTCGTTTCACCGTGCCGCATCATCGGGAATTGGCTGGGTTTGATGTATATTCAAGGTTAAAGAACAAATATCCTTCATCCCTCACGTAAATCTTTCAGGAGAGCAAAAGTAAGCAATCAGAATTAGGTACAACATCATCACTTCAAAGTCCCCAACATAGAATAATACTGATAATTTATAGAATGAATTAGTTACAAGTTTCAACCTAAAAGTTTATCAATAAATTATCAGAAACAGCTTTTCTCGGTAACTATGAATCTATGGAAGATGTAACGTCACATGCTTAGTCTCCAAGCTTTTCTCGAGCTTTTCCTTTCTCATAAACGCATTAAACTAAGATCATTAAGTTGCTACAGAGAGGGTTACATGGTACGGGGATTCTCTCGAGTTACATGCTGTGTATCACATTTTATGGTATATTCACAACTTTATGTATGAAATTTTCTCATAGGAATTAGGGCTTCTGTATTATGCAAAATAAGTGTTCTTCCATGTTTCTTTCAAAATCAACTCTCACCATTACAGGCATTGGTTGAGAGAATAAATCAAATGATTGAAATATTTGACATACGTTTAGAATCTGTTTTAATTTGATTTTGCAAGATTCCTATTAAACTGAAATATCTCTTAAAATGTAAGTTGTTCTTTTCTATTCTTTGAAAAACGTCAGATCTGATGGGTTGAATTACAAACCATTTGGGCAAGCAGTGGTTGTAAAAACGTTGTCACAACGTTACTGCCAAAAATAATGTTGCAAATGCTCTTGTAACTTTTCAATACAGTTATTTTTGTCAGTTGCCGGAGCTGTTTGACAGAACTTTCAAAGTTAGCAAAAGATAAACAAACTGTTCTAAATCATGAGTTCTAATTTCTCCAAGTCTGCGATAACCATCAGCAAAAACGCCATAATTCCACTCTAGATTTTTTCAGTTGTTTCTTATGAAATGTTTTACTACTGAAAAACCAACAAGCATTTATTCTTTTTAATTCTAAAATAACTATGGCATACCATTGAGAATTCAAACTTATAAAATGAATCATTATGGTGATCTGATTTTTTATAATAGAACCTGTGCAGATGAAAAATGCAAAGTTCTGATAGGAGTTGTGGCGTTTTTCCTGGAGACAGTAGTAATGCACATTTTCTCCAAGTCATGATAATTTTTAGTCTCTCTCCCTCTTTTCTAGGTTCAATATTGGATAGTCTAAAGGGTATTATCAAACGCTACACTAATCAAAAGTACAAAATTTTTGTGGAATATATTTCCCTTAGTATTTATGAAAAAAGGCAAGACTTACTAACGTTTTGCTGAAGAGAATAAAATCACTAAAAGATATTGTTTACATTTGAAGTCTTCGATTAATAGAGAAGGTAAGTGAAACGCCATTCTAAAGTTGAGATTTTGATGATTCTGAAAAAAACTTGTTTTTCAGCCAACTTTAGCCCTACTTTCTCCCCCTATAAAAAATTAACCACCAAAACCTAATTTCCACTGATTAACAGAAGTTTTATCCTTTCACGAATCCTTAGGGCGGTAAGAACCTTTAAACTTGCTTCTTTTGAAAGCACACAAATGTTACATACTCACCTTTATTCACTGGCGGCTTCATTCGAGAAAATCTAATTGATGGGAAGCTAATGTTGCTAAAGTACTTTGTGCTGAGTCAAGACAGACTACGTATTTTCCATAATTTCTCATTTTAAGATTATAGTTTCGGTTGTCTCTCTTTTTCTTTTCTTTTTTTGTTGTCAATTAATTAGGTATGTCATAAAATTTGCCAACTAAGAGAATCTGAAATGATAAACAAGGGAGCGACAAAGTAAAAATTTGTCTGGTCTAACAAGGGAGTGGAAATATTAGCAGAATTGTAAACTTCAAGGTTTTTGGGAGTCGCAAATCATTCTCCTCTAATCAGAAAGTAAGAAAATATATCATCTGTAAAATATTTTCAGGAAGAATCTCGCTAGTGCTCCTATGGTCAAGGAACAAAATCAAAAACATGGAAATTCACTTTTCTTTTTTAAAATTAGACACTAGATCTTGAAAAGTAAATCCGAATTTAGACCTTCGAACACCGGTTTTTCTATTTTTATTTATTTAATTGGTCCTTCTTATGCCGTCACCTTTTCATTTTCTTGTTTTCAGATCCACACACTGTAATACATTTTGTTAAGCAAAGGACCTATGCAGCTCCTATTTGTATGAAGTCATTTGAAGCACTTCGGGGAAGAAAGAAAAAAAGAAAAGAACGACTTTATGAATTATGTAAAAACTATAGAGGTGATTTGCTTTTTCTACACACGCTGTGCTAAAACAAATGGCAGTTGGTCTGGTTTGAGAAAACTATGTCTTCTATTGAGGTACAGTTTATATTAAGTTGTAGTCCATACCCTTTGCCTTACAATGAGACGTCTTAAGAATATTTTGTTGCAAATTTACCAAGTTCCATTAATCTTATGAAAATACACGAAGCAAAAGTGGAAGATTTTGGACTAGTTTTTGTTTGTCAAACGCATGTGAGATCCCATGTTGCTTGGAGAATAGTCATCGTGAAAATAGTATTGATGCAAGTTGGGAGGCATTCATAAATTATGTAACGCAATATTTTTGGAATTTTTGACCCCCCTACCTTCCCCTTTGTAACATTTTTTAACGCCGGACACCCTCCAGCTCTCATGAGATCCTACCAATTGTGGAAAATCATTGAATATATAGCTGGATGAAATTTGAAGTGTTTTTGATGATAGTGTGACAAAGAACGTCAAAGAAATCACGAAGATACATGTCTAAAGATTTTTCTGTATTTCAGGATTCAAAGTCTTTAACCCCTCACTGTGCTGTTACCTTCACAAAAATGAAGAAAACTCCGGCACCCTGGACAATAGCATAACTTGAGGGCACATCGGCTGGTGAATCAATTGGTTGACGCCAACAGGTCAACTCAAACTTGTAATTTTCTGATTTTTTGCCCTACATGCTATGAAAACGAAATGAAATTCCAGTGATTAGATTTTTTCCAGTATCAGTTAATGATCAGATTTCTGACTTTTCATGAGACATTTCTCCCGTAGAAGTTCAGGAATCTTATAGATCAAAACGATTCATCCTCTAGTCCATTGATCTCCTTTTTTCTCTATGTATAAGAGCTTCATAAGCTGACATTAGTCAGCTTATGAAGGTTCTGTGCTTTTGGGATCTTCGAGAAATATCAAATCGATTGACGAGTTACTCTGGTCTGAGTTCCACATCTGCTGATAAAGGAGATCATGAAAGTTTTTTCCCCTCTCATTTTAGTGAAGTCTCTGTAACTCCATGAATCATCGACCAAATAAGCTAAGGGTATGGACTACAATGTCCCTGAGACCGCATCTCAATAGCTAAGATTGCTGTCTCAAACCAGGTCAACTGTTCTGGGACAGCCTACGTATTTAGAAAGAGGATTATATTCCATATGATTGAATTATTGAATACTTATGCTCAGGTTCGTGTGTCTGATATCTTATAGTATTGCATTCAAACGTACTTTTTCTTCAACATTTTTAGGTCTGGTCTTGAAATATTGGGTTACCTAAGTGTAACTTCATACCAAGAAATACAACAAACTGCTTCACAAAACTTTAAATGTCCTCTGAAGTAAGCAGTTAAAACTGGATATTCGTCAGTTGTAACCTTTTTTATTTTGTACTGAAAGGTCTAAAGTAATTTTAGTACTTAATTCAAGGATTAAATTACTATAGCTTATTGAAAAATAACAACTAATGAGCAAATCGAAAGTCTATAACTAAATAAAGACAATTTGTTAAAATAAACAAAATAACATGATATTGAGAAATAAAATTACTTATTCATAGAGAATGACTAACAGCATGCCTGAGTTCAGAGCTTCATCTTTGAACTTTGACCCAGCACATAGGCACAAATGAATTACTGGTATCAAATGTTTCATTTTTGATCCCAGATTAATACAGTAACCAAAACAATATTTTATTTACATTATTCTAAAGTAGAATTTAAAATATCACTTTACACTCCAACACAGCACCTGCAAAAAGAACAGAAAAGAATCTAATATTATCTAACTTTTTATGGATCCTCAGCAGACAAACAGTTAAAATTTTAAAATTCTGCAGATTCTATGAGTTCCTTTACAGTTGGATAAAGAAGTGGAAAATTAAACTGTCTTAATTTTTTATACGTCCTTCTAGTTTTTTCATTAGCACAATAAGCAATGGTTAAACATTATTCTATCGTATTTGCTGATTCAATGACAGTGTAAATAATCCAGTACGTAGTATGTACTTAGAGGAATCAATGAGTAGACTATGTTTATTGACTTACAGAAAAGTGTGTCCAGCCTAACAGACCTATGCGTGGATCTCTCAAAGTAACCGTTCACTACTCTGTAGCATGCATTTTCTAACTAGATCTCTCCGACGTGCACTATGTTGACTGATTTTGTCCCTCTCAGTGCTGTTTACACAATTCGATCCTGATCACTCGTTGTTCCACCTGAATGTTAATTTCACATTTTTGTTTGTGTTCAATTTTTTTGGTAACTCTTTCACTACCTTTCCTTGGCTTTTTTGATCATAGTCTTTAACATGCATCATGTGATACATCTTTATCTTTATATAGTGCTCTTTCTTGTGTTTTTGTGAATTTTTCTTGCTGAAGATGGCTTTTAGCCAAAATGCATCTGGGAAAATATACTGTGAATTCTTCATAATATGTGTGTCCTGGAATATCTTTTAATTAATTTTTTATATTATATTATTGAAACACGCAAGATGCGATCCTCTAGTTAATTAATGAGTACTTACCAAAAAGAACAGATTTCCATCCACTGGTAGCAGTTGAGCTACACTCAGCTAGAGGTAGGTTGAAGTGGTTCTGGTACTAAATGTGGAGTGCGGCTGCTGATAGGGGGCAAAATGGGACTAGTGGGCCACTGATAAGGGGTATTTGGGGGTACACTCCTCGAGTGCGAGAGGAGAGGGGAATTACAATGACTCGGTGATGTTGACTGCATGGCCGCTGATTCTGGATGCAGAAAATTCCGTTTTGATTCATTTGCTTTTTCTGCACTACTTGATAACTGCACCTGCTGCTGCGCTGCTTGTTGGACGCATCGGCTTAGAAGGTCTGGAAGAAGCTCAATCTAAAAAAATTAGAATGACTCAAAATAACTTTTTAAAAAATATACCATTATCATTTAACATTTCAGAGCATGTTGCTTTTACTCAAAGGAAAAGGAGAAAGTAGAAAATTAGTCTGAAATTTCTGCTGAAGTACAGGATCTTAATTCAACTCAGATTTTGAATCAATCATCATTTAAAACCATATGCTTGAAAAAGGATCTTAGGCTTCAAAAACTCAAAATTGAGTCATGAACACCAGAGAATATAGGATCATAACCATTTTTAATTGAAAACACACAGAAAAATGCCTAACGAAAGTGGAATTACAGCAGTCATAAAAACCTTTAATTTTAAGAAGGATTTATTTAATATTCTAATCTTCTATATTTAGGGCACAAAACTGCCTGATTATAATGCAGATTTGCACCCTCTGTTGGTATCAAAATACTGCCACAAAATTCCAAGTACAAAATACTAGGTACTAGGATATGATTTTCTAGGAAGGTACTAGAGAGCGTTTTCTACCAAAGTCTCATGGTCCAATTTCTTTCTCAACTCAAGAAAAAAATTAAAAACATCATACCAGATATGATATATTGCCTCTGTAGACGGTCGAATTTGTGAAACAATTATTTCATGATTTTTAATTTAATTTAAAATTGAAAAAAAAAAAAAAAAAAAAAAAAAAAAAAAAAAAAATGTTTCAAGGTAGGTAGGTATGTCATGTGACAACCACCGTCCTGGGTTCAAGTAAATCATTTCAATAGGTAATTATGATCAGTTGATTCTGTGGATTGATCCATTGTCACTTGACTGAACCCTTTAGATTTATTAGGTGCATTTGTACCTACAACACCTATGACGCCGTTTAAAAAGCGATAGGTATCCCTAATTTTGTTAGGTGTGTGAAGAAAAGCCAGAGACAACTTCTTCAGCAGATCAAGAATATTACATCTACTTATTTCATAAAAGTAAATAGTTAGAATAGGAGATTTTTCTCATAATATTTTACCTGCTCTTGTATTGCTAGTAGCTTTTCTTCTACTCCTACAAGGCGACCCTCTAAAGTATCACATCTGGCGCTCATCTCTGAGACAATTTCATAAACGGAAGTTTGAGTCTGTAAAATAATTTCAAAGCACGAACTGTTACTTAAGCATTTTTTTTTTTTTTTTACCAAAAAAGCAAAAAACATCCTAACATACAATTTAAAAATCCCATGTACCTAAATTAAGACGTTCATTTTACTTTTAGTAGGTACAGAACAGGAGGCATAATGCCTTAACGCTTGCCGTCAGTTTTCCTTGCATACCTATTTTTTGAATAATTTATGTATTGCATAAATTTGTCAAATTGCTGATTATTATGCTTTGAATAAACAGACGTTTTTATTTTCTCTGCTTGAATGCATGGTACCAGCTAGCATACTCCCGAGTGCGCGTAGTGAAATCAGTGACCCTAGTTGGGTTTGGTTAGGTCACGCAACTAAACTAACTCCTAGGCAAGGCGGAGAGTATCTCAGTATTTGAAGGCGCTCCAAGCCGCCGTCGTCCTTTAGAAATTCTTTACCGATGAAACGTTCGCCATGTCGATGTTGGGTACTGCAATTCCTTAGGTAAATGAGCACGCATGCTTCTTGCAAATTGTCGGTGATTGCTAATTGCCTGTAACAGATGCATCTTGGAGACATTAAAGGAAAAAAATAATCGCATTTACCGCGGATTTTCCGGGAAAATTCTCAGTTCTCTCTATCTATCGCACAGTTACCTACAACAAAAAAGGAATGGTTTTTCTGCAAAAACTATTTTTGTCCTTCCGGTTTGTCTGCTGATACCGTTACACATAAGTTCTATGTGATACAGCAGACAAACCGGAAGGACAAAAATAGTTTTTGCAGAAAAACCATTCCTTTTTTGTTGTAGGTAACTGTGCGATAGATAGAGAGAACTGAGAATTTTCCCGGAAAATCCGCGGTAAATGCGATTATTTTTTTCCTTTAATGTCTCCAAGATGCATCTGTTACAGGCAATTAGCAATCACCGACAATTTGCAAGAAGCATGCGTGCTCATTTACCTAAGGAATTGCAGTACCCAACATCGACATGGCGAACGTTTCATCGGTAAAGAATTTCTAAAGGACGACGGCGGCTTGGAGCGCCTTCAAATACTGAGATACTCTCCGCCTTGCCTAGGAGTTAGTTTAGTTGCGTGACCTAACCAAACCCAACTAGGGTCACTGATTTCACTACGCGCACTCGGGAGTATGCTAGCTGGTACCATGCATTCAAGCAGAGAAAATAAAAACGTCTGTTTATTCAAAGCATAATAATCAGCAATTTGACATCGTTTCTTTACCTTCGAATTTTTACTTTTCTGTATTCAACATAAACAGATTGCATTTGCCGATGATTGCTAATTTCCTTGGACACACCTACATGATTCTTACGTCAGCCAAACCGGATGGACAATCAATACTTGACCCGTGGAGAAATTATTTCTGTCTTGTATAGTTCGTAATTTTATGACCTTGAACGTGAGAGAAATTGTCGGGATTTTTTGCGGTGAAACGTGATTGGGTTTTTAATTTTCCTGTTTTTCGAAGATGTACCTCCATGGATGCCAGCAGCCAAACCCCACTTTTTCAAGATTGGCACATTAAAAGGTCTTTTTTAAAAATTGATTGTGCTCAGGAGGCTGTGAGGAACATCACAATTAAAAAAATCGAAATTTAGCCGCCGCCTTATCTCTCGGAGACCGATCATAAAATATTCAGCTTTCTTAGAGGAGAATTGAGGAGAGCGTACCTAACACATTTTCGGTTTCACGTGTAGTTAGTTGCAGGATATGGACTGACGTTTTAAAAGCGTTTCAGAGGGGAAGGGGATTTTAAAAATATTTAGTGTTAGGCAGTGGCCATTTTGCAAATTGCCAACTTTGTTTTTCCTCCATTTAAATTCATTAAGAATATCGATTTAGGTGAGGCAAACTGCCTCACTTAGAATTGATTGGTTTACATTCATTTACATGGAGGAAAAACATCATTTTAGCCAACTTTCAAGAATCGACGCTGGCGTTACGTATTTTAAGAACGCCCCTCTTATAGTTATTTGGACCGCGTTAAACAGAAAGGAACCAAGCCACATCAGCTGTTGCCAAATTTAATTGGCTAATTTAATTTTTTACATGAAAACAGTTGTGCGGATTTTCGTGCAAATTTCAGTGAATTTTCTCCATAGCACGAAGCAAATTCCTTAACATTTTCAAAGGGATCCGCACAAACGTTTTCTCGTAAAAAATTAAATTGCCCAGTTGAAATTGGCAATAGCTGATGTGCCTTGGTTCCTTTCTGTTGAACGCAGAGAGATTCACCTGCAACTCAATCCACCGCATCTCACATCGTCAAAGGGAACATCTTGACCATGCTCAAAAATAAATGTTTTATCCGGGAAGATTTGGCAATTTTCGGATGTTCTTACGACGTTACGGCGCACGGCAGTGAAGTACTTACAGTGCAATGCAGGTATGATGGGTTGATGAGGAATTTCTGAGGTTACACTGACTTTGATAAATCGTGCGCCTCACCAGACGTTTCTCTTCCGCCTCCCCCCTCCCCCTCTACCCTTCACGTCAAAGTTTGGACTAGTCCTCGTTTCTTTGGTTTTTATCTCCCCCTCCCTTCCTGACACCCGGAGGCTTTTTGTTCGAGTCCAATTCCTCGTCTCCTTTTCGAATTTTCCCTCTCTCGCTCCCGCGCAGCGATGCCACGTTTCCGAAAATCGCCCTATTTTCGTTGTGGGTTGTAAAGTGGAAAAAGAGAGCTTTCCGAGGAACCGACAGCACAGCTCTCGTCAAATTCGGTGTCGCGTTCCGACCAGCTGCTTATCTTTTCCGTGCTCATCTGTAGATCGGGTTTTTTCACTTTGACATTTCTAACTGAAAACACTTTTACAGTGGCGCAGCCGAGTCCTGGACCCTCGAATCATGCCCAAAAAGTTTCTCCCTCCAGATCATTGTTCGCGATTGGCGGGAATTTTCCATGTTTTCCGGCCTCACTTCTGCTCCATCGGATGAACATGCGAAAATGATAATTGAACCGATAATTTTCGAAATCACGCGAGCGCCTATCTCTATTTTGGTGGTAGAGGGGTTGTTTTCTCTGGTGTAATCAATCATGTCTAATTTCAAAATAGCCTTCCAAGAGAAAATACACTTTTTAGAATTCGAAAATTGTCAACAAAGCGAATAAAACGGGTTTTCTCGTTTTTCTCGCATTCGCAATTTTGGCGCCTACGTGATTTGGAAAATAATTGGTTCGGTTGCTCTTTTCCTAGGGTCAATGGAGAATGAGTTGGTATGCTCCTCATATCGCGCCTCTTGGAATTTTCGGCAATTTAACAGCGATCTCGTATGTTGCACAAATAAGGACTCCTTTTCTCGGTGAAAAATCGCGGTCAGTAGGTATTTAAAATGCACTAAATATTTTCCCCAAAGATAGACGTTTAAAATGAGCTTGTTTGGTATTCTTTAAAACTCGTTTATTTACAGAGAAGAAAGGTCACTCTTAGTTCACCGATTATTTGAACACTGTTGATCCACGAAAAACAAGTTCAAAGTTGCGTTCTTTCAACCCGCATTTAAACACGCATCATCCAGAAAAATAAGATAACGTCCGCAAATATCCTCACCGAAACTATCTCTCTTCTTGCAATTACAAATCTTACAATGTTAAACTGTGTTCTTTTGTTCAATGGTTTGAAGAAAATGCTGTCACCGATACTTCTGAATTTTAAAATTTTCCGGGAACGGCCACCATTTGTTTCTATCGAATTTATGGATAATTTTGCATAAAAGCTCTCACCTTTGCCATATCAGTAATTGTGTTGGCATTGTCCATGAGTTTTCGTTGGTCCATCTTAACTTTTCTTAAGCTGTAACAACATGTCGAGAATAATCAGTCATAGATAACAAGAACGTAGCTACAAATTTTTGATAGTTACATTTTTTTGGATGTAACGCTTCATGGAGGCCCAAATGACTCTCTCGAAGTCTTAATATTATATTTTCACTTAAGAAGAAGCTGATTCTAAAGATCCATGACGAGTTGAATGTAGCATAATTCAATGGTTCTTTCATTATACTTTCATCCCAATGACTTTCGAAATTTTTGGGTTTCAGGACATTTTGTTAACGATTTTTTGTCCGCGCACCTTTTTTGTCCAGTAGTTTACGCCCACACGTAAAATAAGCAACAGTGACTTGGTCCAAGCGTTATATTTTAGTCGGTATGTAAAATTATATTGACAATATGGAAATGAGAAATTGAGAGAGAAGGAGGTGTTGTTATGGTTGCTTATTTTCTAAATGAAATGTTATTACTTTCTCCTTTTGAATCATCTTTTTAAATTGCCATTGGTGAATATTTGGTTTTATTTCTATCCTTAAAATATTCGATGTACAATATACCTTATATATGTATCGGGTTTTTTTTTATTTTTTTAATTTTTTCTCTACGAAATTATTACTTCATTTTGAAAACATGTATATTTTTAAAACGTGGTAAATATTTGTAAAACCTTTTCCAAACGACATTAATCTCAATGAGCCGCAGTTGTGCTGACAGAAACTGCAAAAATGAATAAAAGAGTGAAAAAACCAAGAAGCACGCAATCTTTAATTTTAACCCATTTGTACATCGATCTTGTAGAGTCAAATACGTCAAATTTTGAGCGTTTGGTTGCGCGTACACCTCGCTGCAGGACAATAAAAGCACAAAATGTAAAAGAAAAATTAAAGTGCTTTGGAAATCATTAAATTTGACACGGAACCACCAATATTTAAAAAAAAACACATTATATTATTATTCTCCTTTGATAAATTGATACATATTTTTTTCCCATCAATTTAAATGAGAATAATCAACGCAGAGTGTGCAAACATTTCAAAATCATGAGTTAAAAAACGCTAAAGCCTAACAGAGCGGAGCGGCGTGCTGCCAGCACGAGAGGTTCACTGGCGCCCACAAACCTAAATGGATACTTCACGCACTGCTCAATGCTTGAAGTATCCACTTAGGTTTGTAGGCGCCAATGCGCGTTTTGCGCTGGCCGCTCACCCGCCGTGCGACGGCGCCTGAGCCTTTATCCGGTTCAGGTATAACAAGGTGGGAATTTCTTGAAAGATAATTAAGACCTGTTACACCAAAGAGGTGTAGAGAGTTTTAGTGAATTTTGTCTCATGGAATTGACGCTCCCCCATTTTTACCAAAACTCTCAACTATATATTATTTTCCGTTGGACCGAACAGACAAAACAAAAAAACAAGCAAACCCTCGTTCTTCCAAGACATTATACATTTTCATCCAAAAACGTCGTGAGCAATTGTCGTTTGTATGTACATGTGGGCCAATTAACTTTGGGTCTCAACTGGCACGTGGACCAAAACTTCCGTGCCGAAAAAACGCGTGGACGTACATTACTGGAGAAAACAGGTGTGCGGATAAAAAATCGTTGACGAAATGTCCTATAACCAATTTTTATGACCTATCATATCACCAATTTTTTTTTTACATTTGAATGAACAATTTGACTGGAAAAACTCAGCCCAAAATAAACAAAAAATATTCTAGACCTTTCGCAATAATTGCTTTCTCTTATATAAGAGCTACATGTCAAAAAAGAAAGGCAGAATTGACGACACAGCGGGTTGCCGATAGCTTGTCATCGATTTCATCCAATATTGTTGCCAGGTAAGGTTGAAAAATCTGAAGTTGTCTCCATTTAAATCCGTATAAAAACATGTATGTATGTATGTAATTATGTATGTATAAAAATATCAACGTTTAATTGCACAACCGGGCGATCTTGCAGGCACGATGATGACTGACGAAACTGACCGATCAGATGACGTCATTCAACTTTCGACAGCATTATCTTGTTCAGTCGACAAATACAAAATGTCAATGATTGATTTCTATTTGATTCTTTGCACGGTGATACAGTATGGTAACTTCCATTCAAACAATTGTTAAAGGTACTAAGAATTTAGTAAAAATAGCCAATGCTGTGCTTAGATAGGAATTGTCGATACGGCTATTTTCTGGGGTGTCAAGATTCATTTTGGTAAAAAAATATAGGTTGTTCTCAAAACAACGTTTTTCGAGGCCCTTTTCTGCAGGATCTACTGGATGGATTTTCAAAAACGGTTTTTGTTTTTTTCTGACCTTTTTCGTTACCTACAGGCGAGAGTATAACCCTTATTATTTTTCAAAAAACAAAAATGAGTCTGCCACCTCACTTCCTAATTTTTTTTATCTATTAATTTTTTTTTCAAAAAATTTATGAAAATTTCAAATATTAGGATTTTCAAAAGTCCTCTCGCCTAAAGCCAGAAAAAACTCTAAGAAATCAAACAAATTTTTGTTTGCTGAAAATCCATTCAGTAGAACCTGACAAAATCGTACCGTAGCATCAGACAATTTTACATGGTGAATGTACTCATGTCTCTCCTTAAATTAAAGTTTCATCACTGATGTAGCAGTAACTTAGATTAAGGTTATCAAAGACTATTGGAATGTAAAGAATCAAATAGAATACGTACGGTTAATTCTGCTAACCTTTTTTTCCGTACCCTCGGTAGATTGGTATGTTAATACTCACGCATAAATAGCTAGGAGAAATTTTCGCTGATGGGTTCGCACCCGACCCGGGTTGACTCTCGTTACTAGCCTAGTATGTTTGTATATCAGCCAAGTTTCTCGCAGAACGTTTGCCGCTGCATTTTTTAGCTGTAACAGTGGAAAATTGAGTGAAAATCACCTCAATAGATGTACATAGATTCACATTGAAAAACAAGACAGACAGCAAACCTATGTAAGTACGTATCATCCGCATTCTACAATGCTACAATGTACCCTTTGCATACGATAGGGATTTGCGAACTATGTACATTTTTTATGTTCAATTTCGCATAGAGTGTTCGAATGGATACAGAGGGGGACTCTCACCGTGAGAGCGGCAATTCCCTCCATCACGGACTAAACTTTGAGACCTTTTTTTGAGATTGGAAGTTGGTTTTAAAGAAAATTAAAGGCATCACTATGTTTCTCGCAAAATTTAATATTAGTAAACGTTCCTGGACCGCAAACCCATGTGCTATTCAAGAGCTTCGATTACTTTCTCGATCTGGAGTCAATCGTCGCTGCCTGCGTGCTGTGCTGCATTTGCAACTATTTTATCACCACCTATTACCCAACACATACAAACGAACTCAAATTTTGACGATCGAACTTCATTAATTTTAGATAGCTGAATCCGAAAAATACCATCTGGTTTTTTTTTGGGGGGGGGAGAGGGGGTGTTTGAAGTCCATGTTTCTATTACATGAACCCCCACAAAATTAAAGTAACTCTTTGAAATTCCTAAATGAAACTTTTTCGACTGTTGTCACTATCTTTTCTTGTGAATGACAGTGATCAAAGATTCCTTCCGCTCCCTTATTGGAATCTCGGAACAGTTTGGACATTCTTGTATTTAATTCCTGCACTGGAAAAAAGTCGCTTGAATCTAGAGTCCAGACTCTTGAAAACAATGACAAGAAAAAATACTCTTGATTCAATGGGATTTTTGCTTGAATCAAAACGAAATCCACTTAAATTAAGAGGCTTGGTTCTTGATTTAAGTTAAAATCCGATTGAATCAAGAGTATTTTTACTTGTCCATGTTTTTATGAGTCTGGATTCTAGATCCAAGCGACTTTTTTTCCACCCTGGTAAAAATTGGCGGTATGAGCTGCGTTTCATAATACCATAGGAATTCTTACAGCCGCGACTAAAGAAAGCAATAGAGAATCATATAGCTGGTTGTAGAAAGCGGAGTAAATCATGTAGCCGAGCTATACGAAGCGATAAAAAATTATGCAGCCGGGCTATAGTTCCTATCGCCGGGCTTTACACTTTATCGCCATCGATTATAAAAGGCTATAAGAAATTGTGTAGAAATTCGTGTGCTTTAGAAATCATTAAGTTTGATATGGAACCACCTTAATATTTACAAAACACACGTTATATTTTCCTTTAATACATATTTTTTTTCATCAATTAAAACGAGAATAATCCATACAGGATGTGCAAACATTTCAAAACCCTGAGTTGAATAACGCTGACTCCGCCAGATTAAATATTAGAGCCTAACACAAAGCGGAGCGGCGACGCACTGACGCCTACAAACCTAACAGGGATACTTCACGCATTGCGCAACGCGTGAAGTATCCCGGTTAGGTTTGAAGGCGCCAATGCGCATTTCGCGCTGGCTGCCCGCCTGCCGCACCGCAGCGTGGGAAGCAACTATTTCACACCAAAGGTATTGCACAGTATCATACGAAACTGAAGGCGCTCTAATATATTAGGGATGGCAGGCATCCATCAAAAGTACGGAGCTTCCCGCGCAAAATAAATCAAGATACTACGGCCCAAAAAGAGAGCAGTGGCCCAAAAACTCACTAAGTCCTAGCATCCGTAATTAGTGACGTTTAGCGTACACTTTATCGCCTGGCTTTGAGTTGCTTAATCGCCATCGGCTATAAAAGGCTATAAGAAATTGTGTAGCCGGCTAAAGAAGCTATTGGAAATCTTACAGCCGGCCGTAGGTCTATGGTATTTCGGAACACAGATTCTACTGCCAATTTTTACCAGGGCAGTGTTGGATGTTTGAATAGTTAATCGACACCACATTAAATTCATTCCCCTACACTCCCTCCTCTTAGGGGCTGATTACTTAGTAACGAGGATAAAATATTAAACTGAATACTTACGCGCTTAGTGAGTTGAGTATCCATCATAAAATTGTGAACATGTTTTTCAGCTCGCGTGAGCTCCATTTTACGTGAGACAACGGCAACCAGTAAGGCTGTGCATCCAGCTCCCTGAAAAGTCAATCACACAATCTCTCGCTCAGCAAAATATTTCCTAGCGTTTCGTAAAAAAACATTACTTGATAGGTATTTGAAAGCTCTTAAAAATAAACTACGTAGTTTAATTTATTGTGAGAATGCGTTGGAAGGCTTAATTGACGAACACACTAGTCCTATTTTACACCTGAATAAAGGACCGAACATTTTAATCTCTTTTACTACTTATAATAGATGAATCAGACGTTCAGCGATTATTGATGCCTCGAAAGGGTTCATAATTCGGGGCGATGGTATGATCGTGTGCGAAGATACCACGAATAAAAGAGGAACAAAATAAACGCAACTGCCAAGAATGTTTGGTGGGGATCTTGTACTTTTGGTACTGTTTTGGGAAATTGTAAAAAATGGCACATAACATAGGTAGTGTATTGACACTTCATCAGAGAAATTCGCCGGTAAAATCAAGTTTCTTGTCATCTGTAGAGCCTCTCAATACAGAGAAAAAGATAGTTTTTTTTCTGTGCTGGAGAAATTTTAAAGTACCATTCTCCACCGGCAAATGTGCTTTTTATTAAAATGAGGTAGCGCGGGTTTATTGGTTCTTGGCATAAAATTGCATACATTTTCAAAATTACCGCCGATAACACCTCAAAGGAGTGGCATCAATAAAGGAGTTATTTCAAATGGGAAAATATCGAGATAGCTCCTCGATCTCGGTTCATACAGCTCTCGATTCATCGTAAACTCATAACGATTTTCTGTTGGCAGCATTGCAATAGCTGATCCAACGCTAAAATAATTGTGATGGGTTAAAATCATTGCTACTTGAGCCGCGAGAAAAATACGCCCAAACACGGCTTTGGAGACATTGCTCTACGAAACAGACGGGTCCATTTAACTCCATCTTAATCGATATTTTGCATTTTTTAAAAATCATTAGTTATGAAACCCGGGAGACGAAATACAGACGACTAGGAGATTCAATTGATTCACTTCTGATCATCGACTAGATTCGAAAATGGCCTACTTGTCGGTCAAAAACGATTCTTGCAAGCTGGCAACAGTGTTTTTTCTCTGCTAAATGTATGTAAAGAAAAATCGATTTCAAGTGAAACGGGTTGCAAGGTTAAACGACAAAATGTGAATCTTTTTACTTACGATTAAATGAGGAAAAGTGTTGGTTTTCCAGCACCATATTACAATGATGCTGGTGAGGAAAGTGGACAGCCTTACAGACTAAGAGTAACGCTCGAAGGGGGATGAAGGTCTACGGATGCGTTACAGAAGGATGGAGCGTTCAGAGCCGCGTAACATAACGCTGGAATGAGCGCGTATTATAGCGCTGATTTTCGAAAATCCAAGGTAATAAACCAAGGAAAGGTGGCAATTCCTAAGCGAAATTCATCACTAAACTCAAATTTGAGGGAGATTAAACTTGGTGTCACGTCTCTTTTTAGGGGGTGCAGACCTGTGTTAATTATGCGTTACTGGGGGCAAAAGGAACCTATTTCCAGCGTTACATATCCTGTAAACTTGCGTTGTTATGATCCAGTCATAATATACCCACTGTATAGGGTAGGCTCTCAGCGGTCTGAAAACCCCGGAACGACGGGGAAATTTATGGAAACCTGGAAGTTAGGAAACTTTGGGAGCAGCGTTTAGTAGACGTGAGATTAATTAAAAAGAAAAAATCCAAGAGGAAGGCTCATTCGAGTTTCAGGAAAAGTCAGGGAATTCGATAATTTTGGAGTCAGGGAAAAGTGAACGAAAGTCCAGGAATTTGGAGGAAAGGGAAGTATGGAAACTCTGGCGATGTTCGTTTATTTTTTTGAAATTGCGGTTTGAAAAGAATCGCAACCCCGCAAAATGAAAGCAGTTCTGTAATACAAAAGTTTAGCCAAGAAGCACGGAATGTAGCAATGAACCATCAGTCATTCGGAAGATCAATACGCGGCGGTCCTCTTTCGCTAAGTTTTGGCGGTTATCGGTGGAGCTTCGACCGTTCCCTCCGAATGGAGCTCCTTCGATGTAGTGGCGTATTTGAATCTCCACATGAGCCGGGAAAAGCAATGGATTATACGAAAGACGGGGCTCATTGCGGAATTTAGCTACGCTCATCCGTCCGGAGCGTCGGGAAACTCACCCCTTGGAGTTTTACGACCACCACTGTGACGGGTCTTACGCGGTTTTTGTGTAGATATGTGTATATATATATTTGTGTTTCGTAATGTAGAATAATAAGGCAATGATGCAAGCAATCGGATCAGTGGGAACTCCACTCGCTGCTGCCCGAGAAATATATTGGTTCATAAGCTCCAAGTCATAAATTCGACGATTGGCTTATGACTGGACGGGGAAGGAAGGGAAGAGGAAAGGATACTGCCCAATGAGAGAGGGGACGATGATGTTCGAGGTTCGAAATTTTTCAAACTGGAGGTGCGCTTGTGGAGTAAAAGTAACAATATAAATAGCCTCGAATAGTACGACGAAAAAACAAACACAAGAAAAATCGTCAGAAAAAGCTAAAATACACTGTGAAATGCTTTCGGGATACTTAAATGAGGAGGAACGTTGGCGCAGTGTAATTTGTCTTTCCGTTTTTCAAAGCGCCTTCAAATAACGATGATACTCCGCAACACGCCGAAGTTCGAATAGTGGTATCAAGCAAACTTGCTTGTGTGATATGGAGCGATCAAAGTGAGTTGCGTTGACCAGCAAGTATCTAAGTTTTTTAGGAGGCAAGTCTGCGGGCTGATTATTGAAATTAATAGACGCTGCGATGGACAAAGAAAAACGAGCGATCCTGCTGGTGAAAGTGGGTGGTTGCAATGGACAGAGGAAGGTATTTAATAGACGAACCTACAGCAACCCAACAAGGACCCTATAGTTATAGTACATTATTTTCCCCTTTAGTTTACAAGAAACAACGGTTTTGACTGATAGGATCGCTCTATCTTCCCTTTATCTTTTTTGCCCATCGCTTTGTCTATCAATTTCAATAATCAGCCCCGAAGGATGTCTCGGGGGCGGTTTCAACTCGATCGCGAGCCGGGCTAATAAAATGAGCAAACTGCAACTTGTACAACTTTCAAAAATACTCTTTAGCTTTTAAACTATCCCTCTCAAAGCTCATTTCGTCAATAATTCAGCGATTTAGGCAGGAAAGGGATAAAGTTCAAAACTAGATTCTAAATTGAATTTTTATCCGGAAACCTCCAACTAGAGATTCTTTCTGAGAAAGAGAGGAGAAATGTTCACTCTTCATCAGATGATTCACGAGTTCTCTGCCCCTCTAAGTACGTGTTCTATCATTCACAGCGTATCACTTCTGTTCATGGGTTTGACTGAATTTTTCATGGAAGAAAATCTTGGGAAACGTTTGAACTGCCGTCTTTATATCATCAGTAGAGCCCTTTCACTTAGAATTTAGATTCGCTTTGAGTTCTCTTAAATTTTTGAAAAGGTCAAAAGCGCCCGGATAGAACTGCAGTCAAGACAAAAGATTAACGTGAGCACTTTTTTTCTCCTCAAGATTCTGAGTAAAGTCCCGACGTTGGTGGTCGAGGGGTGTCTGTGGAATGTGACCCATGCTGGTATCGCCCCTCGGACAGTATTTTGAAATAAGGAGATACTATTTCTGGTTCATTTTAGAAACGACATATCTGTCACTAGATTTCTCATGTAGATAGAGATTTTTATGGATGCGCCAAAAATAGCAGTTCTTGATTGCAAAATGTAGTCCCTTTAGATGAAAAAACGAGTTAGGAGTTGGTTTGAGCTTGGGTAGCCGCACGAAGTGAAAAATTTCCAAAAATTTATATTTCAGAAAAATATTTTAAATGTGAAAGTAACCGTTGAACTTCGTCCCTAAAGGTTATTTACCCCTTAAGTTTTATTCGCTCTAATGACTGAATACAACTTAAAATCTTTTTTTCTCTTATCGTTAAAAGTAATCAATTTCACATTCATGGAGAGTGTCCTTTTGAAAAGAGAAGAAGACACCACAAGGAGATCTAAATTGAGTCCTACCATATCTTTATGCCCCAGCCCAGTTAATCCATTATTGAATGCTTCATCGTTAATCATTCGTTTGACTTTCATTTTCATTTTTTTTCTGCAGTTAGGTATGAAAAAGAAATTATGCTTTAACGGCATGAAAAAGTTTCAAAATTTTGAATTAAGTACAGACACAATTGATTAATGGGGAAAAATGAATCGATTTACAACTAGGCGAATAAAAATAATGTCAGTATGAAAAAGTAATCAATACTCAAAGACGGAAAATGACAGAAAATGGGAAGAGATATATTTTAGAACTGATTTTATAAAACCACGGACACACTGAACGACAACTAAAGCAGCCGCGAAAAATCTCTAAAGTAAATGCAAAAATCAAGAACTGCAGGTTAAGTGTGTTTGTTTTAAAAAAGAGGATAGAAATCACAAGGGGGCACGAATATCACCATTTTACTGAACTAGTAAATAAATGCTTTAAGAGTTTCCTTTGTTGCGGGTTGAATTATTTGTATCAAACGCTATTCAGATTGCAAGAAAGCACGAAAAATTAAGTTGGCAAACAATCTTTCCTCAATTCAACTATGATATGTAATCGATTCACCACCTCGATGAACATCACTTGAATGGTGTTGAGCAGAACAGTCACTAATTGTTGCCAGACAAAGCTAAAAAAATCAGCACATTCCCCTAATTAAATTCATGTCAAATATCCTTATTTTAGCACCAAACCTGGCAACCTTGTAGTCACCTCTGCATTGGAAGTTTTGAAGGAAGATGTTCGCAGTCCTCCTTACAATATTGCACATGGGCCTTTTTTTCAAAACTCCCGATGTAGATGAGACCAGAGGCTTGGCGTGCATTGCGATATATGGAAACGCATCGATAAACCGGGTGATCGCAAGGAACACCTTAATGATCAATTCTTAACCATAGCCTCAAATGGGGAAATATCGATGATCGATCATTCACGCCTTGCCACTGAGATGTGACTGTTT